CATAAAGCTCTTTAGAGGATTTGTTTAACCGAAATACGGAGAATGCATTTTCTTTATTTTTTTTAAAGCAAAAGAAACTAGATTTGTCAAAATTAGAAATTTGCATATTCGTAGATTTGGATTAGGATCAATGAAATAACTTTTAGAAAAAATTCTGTGATAGATTATAACGAGAAGGTCTAAAAAAAAATTACATTTAATTTTCATCCGATAATTTTTATCTTCGATAATTTGCGTGACCTTTTCAGATAATAATTAATTGGGACGAGTTCTGCGTAATCTCATGTGACAATATTGAAAATTAAAAAACAGAAACATACAACCCTGTGTTGCCATTGTATATCTTTTTATTTTATTTTTGTATTTAATGGCTAACGACTTCCAAAAACTTATAAGCCCCAAATATATTGCGTTCCGAAAAATCCTGCAAGATGTCTAGAATGAAAATTTCTATAACCGTCTTTTCTTTAAGAGTGCAATTATAAGATATCGCCAAGATGATAATATTAACACTAATTGCCTTAATTGTATCGGCATTTATGATATTGAATTATACCTTTATGATTATGGAGAAGTTTTATTTTTTCTGTAATTTCTTTATAATCTTCGCCTTAAATAATGTTTTAGCACGCCATGTTTTTTATAAGTAAATAGTAATATTAAAGATAGGTAAGGCAGATAAGGTAAAAAAAAAATAAGAAGAAGAATTTTTCTGTGTCTTATTATATATATATAAAATCTCTTGGACAACTGGTCTGATTTTGAAGCTTATTTTATTTTTATTTTCTTAAATAATATTTCAGCCCCAACTAAAACGATTCAAGAAAATCATCGATGGAAAGTAAATTTTATAGGCGCATATGGATCAAAAGTATTACTAGTAATTTCATAACCGTTAATTCCCTGTATAACTGTTACGAGATTAAATAACGATAAAGGGAGGGGGGTCCCAGAAGTATTGCTATCTCTTCTCGAAAATGATACGTGAATCGGTTTGTACTCAACAATCCCACGATCGGAAAGATAACAGGACCGCCTTTGATATGAAGGTCTCGATACTGACTGTCATTATTCAACAGGTCTAATCAGCTGCGTAATAAAATTTATAATAAATTAATTTATAATTTTAGTATGTGTCCTACTTATCTTGGAATGGTATACTGGCTTTAGAAGAAACGTCATGGTTTTTATTTCCGAATTTCACCGCAAATATGATCCGATTTACGATCCTTTAAGGATCTCCTTTAAAGTCTATATGAACGGATATTTCGGATGAGAGTAAGAACCTGTTTTACTAAGCTTTCTTTCGATTTTGTTTAGGAATTTCATCCAATCTTCAATAATTGCTTTATTTTAACTAAAAACATCAAATCTGGAAAAAAAATAAAATTGAGTCAAAATAAAAAAACAAACAAGATTTTTAAACTACTAAGAAGTTTGAAGTAAATGACTCCAGGTAAAAACCAAGTTTTTCTACATTAAATGTGAGCAAAAAAAACTATCGTCTTTATCATCCTATATATTATTTCTAAAAGGTGTTCTTTGTCGGTACGCCATAACTTCGTCAATTCTTCATCAAATCCAATGATTGACCACTTAAGGTATTCTTCTCCTTCACATGCGAAAAATAGTCCCATCGCTCCGAAATTACTAGAAAAAAAATTATGGAGGAAAAGAAACTTTATTTGCGGATAACTGAAAAAGTATGCATTTTTTTCTGGATTGTACCGATATTAATTAGAAAGATTACTAAATTACCTACAAAACAAATAAAAATCAGACAATTATTAACAAAGATACAGTCCATTAGTTTTGGTATACTCAATAATAATGTCTTCCTGTTTAAAGTTATTGCATTTAGGAGTACAATAGTCTACTAAATTTTTTTTTTTTCTGGATTTTATATTAACTTTATTTTTTCTTAAACACATTTGGTTGTTCTTACATTTTATTTTTTTTAATAATGAAAAATATCCTATGATCGGGCATTATTATCATTATTTTGTCTGCATTACTTTTATTATCATTCCAGTCAGCGTTTAAAAATAGGTGCTAGCAAAGCAATTTGTACAAATATTTTGGTCTATTATGTTTAATAGAATATTGTAATCGACTAAGGAAAAAAAAATTAATTTCTTCCTTACATAATACATAGGAACTAATTATTTCCATATTGTTTTGTTATTTCTTCACTAAACAAAATATTCTGCGAATTTTTCGCACGAGTCAACTAGTATATAAAATTTCGAAAATGTTTTTCTATTTGTTCAATTATTATTTTGATATATCATCGGCACAATGTTAAAGTATCGAATGTGCAACGTTAAACACGCAAGTGCTTACATACTTGGTGCCGATGATATATCGAAATAACAATTGAATAAACAAAAAAAAATCGATATTTTAAATCTTTGAGAACAGCATGGATATAAATATAAATACATGTTATATTGAAACTATCTCGATACTTTAATTTTAAATCGTTAATTTAATTTTAATTTAAATCTTTAAAAGAAGGGGAATAGGTTATTGAATTGAATCCTTAGATTTGAAATATATATATTTATAGCAACAATTAAGCATTTATGTATTTTCATCACAAAAAAAGTATCAATTTATTAATGATGATAATTTTTTTGGAATACATTTTCTAAGAAAATAAAATCTATTAACAAATAAAATAAAAATAATGGACTGCTGAAAACCTACAAAAGTATCAACATTTGTTATTAAAGAGACTTATTAATAAGAACGTGAAAAACATTAATTAAATTGCACAACATAAAGAAAAGGGGAAAATCGAAATCGAATCGATTATGACTAAAACAAAAAAAAGGAAACAAAAACTTAGAGAGAACTACAATAATATTGCATGGCTGCTCAACTGTGTTGAGTTGCTAAATCAGACAGCATACTTATCAGTCCAAGAGATGTTATTTAAAACTAAAACACAAGAGTTAGGCGGGACCATTTTAATATATATCGTCTAAACCATGTTCAAGCAATGAATGTGTAACGTGAAGCATCCATTACTTTAACATGGTGATGACGATATAACAATATGTTGAAAATAGTGTACAGAATCATATTTATGGGAAGGCAAAGATGTGTTGATGGTGGATTCCCAAAGAGTCTAAAATAATATTCTCTGCCATTTGCATGCACTCTTTAGACAGCGAGCTTCCGCAAGAAATCACTTGTAGTAAGATGGCTGGTTTCTTTATTTCCCCCCGAACGTCAACTCTTCATTTGAGAAGTTTCTCTCTCCAAATCCATCCCTATATTTTTTCTTTTAAGTAGGGTATATATTTCCTTTTTTAAAAGTCTTGATCTGGAAAACAAAATCTGGTATGTTGCGCACATCTCACAACTTTAAATTACCGCCCTTCTGTTAAGAGAAATTGGAATTTTCAGAAAAAGGGAAGAGAAAATAAAAATCACAGACGTTAGAAAATATTTTTTTAAACAATCAATAACCATATAAGCCTTTCAGCCAACACCATTTAGACGTTTTTGAGTATAGTCATTTTAGTGATATTTCTAGTTGAAAATTGGAATTTGTGAAATTGGAGTCAGTCATTCTGTCAACTGAAAGGCTTATATGTTTTTCACAGCCGTCTAACGTGTTATACTTATACAGTTTTTGTTATTGCTAACCATTGCCTTTAATGAAGGAAGGAGTTGGTCCGGGGTGGCGGTCATAAATAGGCTAAATAGTGGCAAAACTATTTTATTGAAAGACAACGTTTCGACCCGACTTTGCAGGTCTTCTTCAGGGCTAGAACGGACAAGATACAAAAAGATAGAGAATTGTGGAAGTTATATAATATTTAAACAAAAAAATATAAACAATGTGAATAAGCTTATTAAAATTATAAACAGTAAGTACATTAAAATATAAAAAGAGTAAGCTAAGTAACAAGATCCTAAACTGAAGTAAATAGATGGTAACAATTGTTGTACTGTAATATATAATATATGCAAATGTGAATAAACTTCTACAGATCTACAGGAGAGATTGAAAGAAAATTAAAAAGGATATAATGTGAAATAATAGATATAAAGGCAATAATAGACACAATTTCATATTATATCCTTTTTCCTTTTCTTTCAATCTCTCCTGTAGATCTGTAGAAGTATATTCACATTTGCATATATTATATATTACACTACAACAATTGTTACCATCTATTTACTTCAGTTTAGGATCTTGTTACTTAGCTTACTCTGTTCATATTTAAATGTTCTTACTGTTTATAATTTTAATAAGGTTATTCACGTTGTTTATAATTTTTTATCTAAATATTATGTAACTTCCACAATTCTCTATCTTTTTTTATCTTGTCCGTTCCAGCCTCGAAGAAGACCTACAAAGTTGGGTCGAAACGTTGTATTTTAATAAAATAGTTTTGCCACTATTTAGCCTATTCATGACCGCCACCCTGGGACCACATCTCCTTCCTTTATAATGCAACCGTCAACTATTAAATATTCAACATTGCCTTTAATGATTGTATATTTTAATTATTTATTTTAGTACAATAAAAAATTAAATACCACGAAATATTTTTAGTATTTTAGACATGAGTATCACAGATGATAATGAAGGCCACTAAATTTATATATATTTCACTGTAGGTGTTATTTTTATTTATTTTTTTAAGCATTAATAAATATATATTTTATTTAGAAGTTTTTATATCGCTGTAATCTAGAAACTAGTGTTCGATAGACAAATTTTAATTTTGTTAAATTAAAAAAATATATTGATATTTCTCCTAAGTTCCTGCTGTGAGATGGCTTTTATTTATTTTATTGACTACCACCCGTACCATTTTCTCCTTAATTTCCAGAATGTTCAACTATTATCTATTTATACGTTATATTGACCACAAACGCCTGCAACTATAGTTGTCAATATTATATTGACTCCATATTGTCATTATTATTTAAGTTCTTGTCAGTTGATAAAATGGCATCGTGCTCCTTCGAGTAGCGGTCCCTTATCAAGCCGACCGAAGATGGCTGGTTGCTCCTGCAGTACAGCTGTTGACCGACCCCTCTCCTCCTCGGCAGTCAGTCTGTGCCGGTGTGCGGGTCAGTGAAGTGCTTCCTCCTCGAAGGTAGTCCTGCAATCTTTGTCAGTCATGGTCGCTGTAAGTCAAGAACGGATAAGTCAGAACAACGAAGAGGTTGGGATTAGTTCCTGGGGAGCGTTTTATCAAACGGAAGGTGAGCGGTCGTCTCTGTCCTATGCAATAAATGATTAATCATATTATATAAATTAATACATGTAATAGTTTAAAATTATTTTTTCAAATTAGTTAATAACGTCATTATATCAGTATGAAGTTACTGTAACATTTTAATCTAGTTATTTAAGAGTAATCATATTTTTATTAAATTGATATGACTTAACAAAAATATAATTAATTAATTACTAACTATAACTATAAATCATAATTATAATAACTAATGATTTATGCCTTGTTTACATGGTGATATTATTCTGTCGCGGTAGTATTAGCTGTCTACACGCTGACAATAAATATAGTGACAGTTGTAATAATGACGTATATGGATCAGCTGATTGAAAACCATACAAAAAAAACAAAAAAAAACAGCTGATCTAATGAAGATTTTGACGGCAATTCATTAAAAATAATAGATAACAAAAATAATGAAAAATCGTTTTACGAAAAAAAGAAAAAGAAATATACGACCAATGTTTAAGAAAACAAAATAATATAGTTTTGTCCCTTATACAAAAATTAAAAACTTCAGATAGAATCGATTTCAATTAGATTTGGTTAGGTAATGACAGTGGCTAATATTGCAATAAGTACTGTCAACTATTACGTCAAAACAGATGCTACAGTACTACCATGGCAGTTTACGACATCATGAAGGCAACTACTCATCGTGAAAATTATCAATTTATATTATCTATCTAAACATAAATTATATGTGGTCGGGATTCAACAGCCTAGTGAAAATTGAATAATTGTAAAGTTTTATAAGTTACCGATCATTGTATGCTTTGCATCATGACTTATTGACGCACATCATGGGCGGGGCTTTCGGGCTGAAGCCCCCCCAAAATGGTAAAATATAGCCGTGTTTTATGAAAAAAAAAATTTTAAAATACCTCTTAAAGTATTATTGTTCGTGTAATTACATTTAAAAGTACTTAAGGAATCACCTAAACACCATTTCATATAAGTAGTTAGTTTATTTCTGTTATTCCAAAGTAATTATCGTTATTTTTATGAAAAAAAAATCTTTCGGGCTGAAGCACCCTCTAAAATTAAATCCTGGATCCGCAAGTGACGCACATAAATCTCCCTGAATATTAAATAATCAGATCGCTTTTATTATCGCTCAAATGTAAAATACTGACGTAAAAAGGTTGAATAGTTTTTTTTCTTTCTTCTTGTAATTGCGAATAAAAGAACGCCTGATTTATTGGTTTGATTGTCACGGCAAATTTCCGATATTGGTTCAATGTATTCAAGTGTATGCCAGGCCATAATGGCATTATCTCTTTGATAAGATTTGTGATGACGTCCTTATTATTTTTGTCTTTTTATTTATTATTTTATTTCATTTCGAGTTATCCGATGTGTTAAGAATCACAAAATTTTACCTTTCCACCAATTCTTCCGTCGTAATATGTTAACAGTTAACAGTTCCGTGTACATCATTATTTTTCGTGTATTAGTTGAACTAAAAATTCTTTGTTATGAATATCAAGGTCAAGGAAATAAGGCAGTTTAACGGAATAGCTATGAAAGGTAAACATAGGTTGTTATCAAGTTGTTTAAAATTGTAAAGAGAATAAAACAATATGCATTTACTCTTTTGAAAAATTTGAAAATTATTGTAATCATCCCGAAGCTATAAACCTGATAATTTGTGATTTAACAAAGAGGAAACTGTTGACTAACCCATGGCCGGAACTAGGTTTTTTTTTCAGGGGGAGGGGATTTTAATTTTGACGACAATAAACTAATTTTCGCTCTCCTTTGTTCTTAAAACAACATAAAATTCGAAATAAATATAAATATTTACTCATTTAATTTGCTGAGTTAAAATCTAAAGAATCAAAAAGCAGAAACAATGTTTGGGTTAAGATCCCCCTAGCTTCTTCCCTTCTGAAAATATAAAATAAAAAACAGGAAAATTGTAAAGGTTATCAATGAATCATAATAATTTATATTTATGTTTCTCATATTTTGATATTAATGTTTTAACTATACTGCTACTACTTAAGAAAAATATTGGGATCGGGTCAAATTTCCGATGTGCGATTTTCAACGGATCTTTACGTTTCAGAGTTCCTTAAATCCGCAAAACTTTTGATGAAACTTTCTTATAATTTTCTCCTTGAGGCCCTTTCAATTTTTGTACATATAGTCAAATGTATCTTCCCGAGAAAATTTAGAAAAAAACTTATAAAGAAAAAAAAATTTTTTTGGAGTCTTAACTAGCTACGTATACATTCTATAGTAAAATTTATAAACTTTTTAGAAAGGTAATTAAATTTCCTATAAAAAAATCATCGGAAGCGAACCAGTATTAGAAAAAACGTATTCTACACATTTTATTTTATTACCTACTACTGCAACCAGGTAAGGGAATTATTGCGATCGAGCCAAATTTCCAATACTTCTTGAATTTTGTAAGCTGGTTGTAATGATCGTTCTCGTGCTTTAGTTCATAAAAAAAAAACGTACCTCTTATCATTTGTCTACTGGTTTTCATTTAAGGCTCAAATGAATTCTAAATATAATTATTATGTAATTATTATTACATATGTGTTTATGACATATACATAATATATCATTGTGTAATTATGGCACTGATTTTTGTTGTCTCTAAACTGTGGGATTTGTGTGACTCACGATCCAGATGGCCTTTGATGACAGTGAACTTGTAGAGCTGTCTAATGCATCCCATTATTCCTAGCTCGGATCCACTAATTACATCACGATCAATCATGTGATGCGATTAGTGTTAACCATAATGTCCACTAAGGAGACCTTATGGTTATTGGGTTCTTGAACCATCCTCCCTCCACCTTGGCATTGATGGAACGTCTATTTTGGAATGTAAAGATTTATTCACAGGATATAGAATTATCCATGTTTCTAAGTCGCCAAACAAGTATTAATTTAAGAAACTTGTCTATTAAAGAGGCCTCTCACTATCACTCAGAAATGGACAAAGTTCATGAAAAATTAAAATTGCAGCCCATAATAAACATCCAATGTACTAATAAGAATCTTATGTACATATAATTCTTCATAACGTCTGACCCCACATGTTTGTCACTTGACTTCAACAAAAGCAATAAGTGATTAATACATTTAATTTCCACCATATTCACCTTACTTGGCTCCAACAGATAACCTTTGTTTGGAGTGATTCAACATTTAAAAAAATATATTCAAAAAAGGGTATGAAGTAAAATTTTCATGTTTGAAGTTAACTTGATTTAAATAGCCGAAAGTTTTTTTCGATTTTGCGGGGTTTTTCTCTTAGGGAATCCATTTTCAATTTACAGGAGAATTTATTGTAATTTGTCTCGGTTTTTGACAAATTTTGCAAAAACCAGCGTTGGTTGACCGTGGTTTTCTACCATACCACTTAACCAAATTATTAAGTGTATGTACTTCTTCTAAGCACAATGTAACGTACTGTAGTTTCTTAAAGAGTACATTTTTTGCTTTGATGCATCGATTAGAAGTTATAGATGAAAAATAAAAAAAAATCTAAAATATCTGACTTTTTAACTGTAAAAAGTTTTCCCTTAGTGGCTTGCGTTAGTTATTTAGTTTTTTACATGTCTAAACCCATATATACGAGTTAGAAAAATAAAATATTTTCACATTTTTCGAAATAGATTTCTCGTTTCGATCCCTAAATTACTGACCTAATATTCTTTAAATCAGCCGCCATTTTTTAAAGCAGCGGCTCCGATACGGCAGACAAGATATATTTTATTCAGAACAACATACACTTTCGTAAATTACAATGAAACCTTCGCCTGAGATAGGTCGATTTTTGGACCCTGGCTGGGGGGCCCAGCTAGTCCAGGGTTAACAATAATTCAATATACTAGTCCGTGGTACAGACCCCTTTTTATCGAATTATTAACATTCGGCTGAAACTTCGTAAATAGTTTCATCTCATCCTAACTTACAACTATTTTATTTAGGAAAACTCTTGGAATTGGGGCGTTTTCAAGCTGGAGGGGGACAAACTTTGTCTATTTAATTAAGTACTAAAAACTCGTAAATATCGATTTGCTTTCTAATTGTATCGTAAGATAATTTGATCACAAAATCGAGAAAAAAAGGTGGCCTTCAAAAATATTGAGCCATTTTGCGTGACCTACACTGCCAAATTTTCAAAACGACGAGGTTATATAGGACAAACGGCTCAATATTTTTGAAGGCCATCTTTTTTTCACGATTTTGTGATCAAATTATCTTACGATCCTATTAGAAAGCAAATCGATACTTAAGAGTTTTTAGTACTTAATAAATAGACAAAGTTTGCACCTCTCCAGATTGAAAACGCACCAATTCCAAGAGTTTTCGCAGATAAAAAATTTGTAGGTTACTATGAGATGAAACTATTTACGAAGTTTCAGGCGGATGTTAATAATTCGATAAAAAGAGATACCATTGATTATACCATTAAGGTTTGTTTGTCATTCATTTTCCTCAAAACCTTTCGATACTCTATTAATTTTTTTTTCTTTTTTCTATGATTTTTTTCTACATGAAACAAAATTTAGCACACCTTAATGCCCAGGGAAAATAATATATAAATATATCCAAATCACTTTGAATTTTTGAAGTTGTAAGAGAAACTAGAGTAAAGTCCGTGCTACTCAGCTAGGGAACAGGTGGGACACCCCGGGACAGCTGGCGCAGACCGCAGTACCGAGAACTCAGGTAGGGAAGACACAGGTAGAAGATGGGGCGCCTCCAAGTCAGGTAGTGGGTGAGTCAGAGGACCGTGTCGAAGTTTGGTAAAACACGGCACCACTTTAATAGTCACTGTTGTATCTTTAATTATATATCATATACCATTGACACCATCCATCCGCTATCTATGATCCTGTCTTGATAAGAGAGTGCGATGGAATCGTTATCCGAATCGAAAATTCTCGTTGACACTGACTACTCAACTAGACTATATTTTAATTCAATATAAATAACATCTTTTCGTCCACCTGCCCCAATAACTTGAAGTAAAAAAAAAATTAAAATTGATAACCAATAAGCTTCATGAATGAATAAAATATGTAAACTAAAATCGATGAAAAAAATAGAAAAGTAGACTAGCTAAGTTAATCCGTAATAAGTAGATACGTAACTATTTTATCACGACCTAAATATTCCTGTTATTTAAATTTTCATTCATAATCGAGAATAGTAATATAGAAACATATCCTTGGATTTTATTATTCATTCACTTTTCATGTTGACACTTGATATTCTTAGACATTTTCTGCAATAAAATTGTAAAAAATATATTTAATAAGTACAAGTAGGGATATATTTTATAGGCAGTGTTTTTATAAACATTTTCACACAGTCAGCCAGTGAGATCTTTTTATTTTTATTTGGAGACTGTACAAACTTAGAAATCAAATGTATTTTTCAGTTTTTATATTATTAATTTTTAGCTGAAATAGTTCTAGAAATTCTTCTATGTTATGGAGGTTGTCCCTAGTGTTGGACAGAATCGGTGTTGCAAAGTGCAAGACCAAGACCAAGGCCGCATAACTGTTGCAAGACCAAGACCAGTACTGGTTAAAAAAAATCGATTTTTTAAATAAAAATTAAGGTAAAATAGTTACTAATACTTGACAATCTTAGTTACTACATGTAAATAATTGCTATAACCAATATACTTTTGCATTTAAATCCTCTAAATTGTCATTAGGGATTAGTTAGACTTCTCCTATCTAAAAAATACTATAATATCTCTATAGTAATAAGCTAATAAGTAACTGCAAGACCAAGACTCCTATCGGTCTCGCATTTGGGCAACACTGGTTGTCCTTCTTTCCTCTCATGTTTAATCTATAGAAATTATATAATATATCCAATTGTTTTGTTCAGATATTCTCAAGTATATCCAAACTATATTAAAAAAAAAATCCTAGAACTGTATAAACAAATATATAAATTTATTTTTAACACGTTAGCTGCGGTTACGGTCCCCAGCGTCTATCAGATGTAATGATTATTTAAGTTTGTATCTATCTTTGCATCCATCCAACATCCATTCAAATATTTTTAAAAGTGACCATTTTAGAGACTTCGTAATATAGGCAAAATTCGAAACAATCCCGGTCGAAATCGAGATTATTATCTGAACCCGGGGACCGTAACCGCAGCTAACATGTTAAATATCCAATATTTAATTTGTTCATTTCACTATAATTATGTTGAATTTGTACACATAATATGAACCATCGCCATTTTTTTAATATATCTCCCCTCTTCACAATCAAAATAGAAAGCCTGCGCCAATGGTTTAAGGTTCATTACGTCAATTATTCAGTTATCTAGGAAGTTTTCATATTGTATTGTGGCAAAATACTAGACGAAACAAAAAACTAAAATACACATTTCTTTAGTTGAATTCTTGAAGGAAGTAAGTCGACTGTTCTACATATCATTCATTACTAGCCAATAGTCACATTTCTGTAACCATAACAAACATCGCAAATATTGTACACATCTGAAATATTTAGTCAGCGAATTACGTACATTCTACAAACATAAATGTTACATCCCTTCCCCTCCTCTATGTTTACCTACCTTTTGCTATCTGAAAAAGGACAACTGGGAAATCCTCCTCCCCCCCTGACCATTTCACTTACCTACCAAATATGTCAGTACTTGAACACCCTCAGTGCTCAAACCACGGTTAGTAAGAGAAAATATTACAATTTTGTATAAATGGATTATACACACTATTTTTTAATTTTTAATTTGTATAACTATTTACATATTTCATTTTTAACATGTGTATTGTAATATTAGTTAAGACTCATGTGCCATTAATCACTTTAGTTTATTATTTATCATTATCGGTCGCACACTATTATATCTCTGATTGTATCTTAAAAAATTTTCAGCCATGAAGATGACCCACATCCACATGTTTGGGTTGAAACGTTGGTATAAATAAAAAAATTTAAAAACACTGCGTCCTGAATATTCATCACCCATTTACATATATATATACATATATATTCCATTAAGGAGAATATATATATAATAATTAATATATTGTATTAAGGGGAATGTTTAGATCGAAAAATAACTGCTGTCACCTAGGTAAAATCATATTACCACCTCCAAACGAATACCTACTTTCCTCATACTGAAATTAAACATTCGTTGTTTATGTACCTATTTACTAAGAGGACTTTTTATATTTATTTCAACACACGAGAACAATAAATATACATAGTTCTTTTCCTCTTTTTCTTTCTTTAGTTGTCTACGTAAAGTAAACTCGGCCTCCAAATGATCTAAGTACACCAACGCGCCTAAATCTAAATACTTATACTTAAGCAATAGATTTCAAACTCATTTAACATGTAGTATATATGTAGTATGCACAAATATATATATATATATATATATATATATATATATATATATATATATATATATATATATATTTAATTTTTAAAAATAATTTACATATTTTATAGTTGCGTGTGAGGTTTTAAAACTGATAATAAAAATTTCATAACATTTGAGGAGAACTAAAAAAGAAGAAATAACAAATCTGATCAAATATTTGATGAAATAAATTATAAGTAAAAAAGAATGAATTTTTCTTCGATAACAAATAGAAAAAATTGTTAGGTTTCTGAAAACTAGGCACTGTGTTATGCCTATTACAATACTTGCCTTCCATTCTCTCACTGAGGTAAAAAAAAAATGTTCTCCACGGGAGCAAAATCCTCCAAGTCAATGCAACCGCACGCATCACCTCCATTATTGAAGAATGCAATCTCACCCTTAACAACGTTGTAAACCACCAAAGCTACCGTTTTAAATGGTGGTAGAATTATAATGAAGGCATGCGCAGTTTTTTTTTAAAAAGAACTGCCGACGATTTGCTTTGAATTGATAAACTCTATTTTTGGGTATTAGTGTTAGTTAAATTTAGCAACAAAAGCGAATCGGCGTTTTTCTCAAAAGTGGATATTTAAATAAAATGGTACTGGTTCGGTATTGTTTTCAGCAGTTTTTTCTTTACTAATATTTAGTTACTAAATTTCATTCATAGAAGTTCTTATGTTATTATTTTAAAAGAAAAAAGTTTATTTTTAGTAAACAAAATTAATTTTCTTCTTCAATCATATACAAGAAAATTCAACTGGAATTGAAATAAACAAGAACAAATAAATTGACATTTTTTAAATAAAATACTTTTAAAACGAGTGAGCGTAATTTAATTTAAAGTTGGGGCTACTTGAATGGATTCATTAAAATTCTGATTTCTTTGTCTGACAATTTCATTTGTTTTTCGATACAAAAATAATAACGGATTATTATAGACAAAAAATGATAATTTCGCGATCAACAGGTGGTAACCTAGCTAGCTCATACTTGGAAATAAAAAAACCTGTATGTAAAATCAGTACAATTCAGGTTGTGTTTTTTCCTCTTTTTAAATTGAAAGTGAAGATTCTGATTGTGTTTTTACCATAAACATTGATTTTAATAATGATATGATCTGTAACCAAAATTCTATACTCTTCTTACTCTCTCTCCTCAATATTTATAAATTCGCTATACCTATATATATATATATATATATATATATATATATATATATATATATATATATATTGTGCATACTACATATACTACATTGTTAAATGAGTTTGAAATCTAATTCTTAAGTATAAGTATTTAGATTTAGGCGCGTTGGTGTACTTAGATCATTTGGAGGCCGAGTTTACTTTACGTAGACAACTAAAGAAAGAAAAAGAGGAAAAGAACTATGTATATTTATTGTTCTCGTGTGTTGAAATAAATATAAAAAGTCCTCTTAGTAAATAGGTACATAAACAACGAATGTTTAATTTCAGTATTAGAAAAGTAGGTATTCGTTTGGAGGTGGTAATATGATTTTACCTAGGTGACAGCAGTTATTTTTCGATCTAAACATTCCCCTTAAATACAATATATTAATTATTATATCAGTTTATTTAATGCTGTTAAAAAATAATATAATCTAAACTACAGGATACATGTTGATTAAAGTTATACAATTTGTGCAAAGAGTTATACAATTAAATGAACAGTTGTATAATTTGTAAAATGGGGGACGGTCCGCCGTTGGGCGAACAGAGGGTACCACCCAAGTATTTATAAAATAACGTATTTCATCGAGTGTCCATGACAGATTACTCTGTGGTAAGTGCGGGGATAGTACGCTTATTATTGGTTTGCTTTAAAAATTAGCATTTGGCTTGTATTTTGGAAAATCGAATCACTTATTTTTTTCGCCCCCTAAATTTATTTGTCCTCTTTTTTTTGCGTCGCTTCTCAAATTCGCTCCCATCATAAAAATTGACGCTCGGTGCAAAAGCCCAATTTGCCCACTGTGTAACTGTGGGTCAAACTATTGGCGGATTTACAGGGATGGGTTTCTGGCTGAAGCGCTCCTTTCCAAAAAATGGAATTTTTTTTTACTGGTCCGTATTAGTTACCATAGGCGCTAAGTTCGGAGGGCAGTCGCATCCCCAATATTTCGGAGACCAAAAATAAGATCAAAGTTAATAACAACTCTATATGGTCCACATGAATGAATAAAATATGTAAACTAAATTTTGTGGGCGGGGTGGCCGAACGGGCTAACGCGTGTGCACAGCACCAACATTGCTCGACAACCTGATATATAAGACAAATTGATAAAAAATAGTCACCAGTTCGCGTCCCGGTGGAGTCTTTTAAATAAAAATAAAGATATGTAATATATTCAATTGCTTTGCTAGTATATTTTGCATATATAACAATAATCCATACACAAAAAAAACAACCTAATATATAAACATAATTATAAATTTGATTTCATACATAATATTATATTGTTCGTTTTACAATAATTGTGTTAATTGTCACTCATAATTTTTATACATTTTTTCTTTTTTTAACATTCGAGGCCTATTTTGGGAAGGCAAGTGACATAATCTAAATACTTAAACAATGACAATATGTTATATCTTTTAAATCATAATACAGATCAACATGTCTTATGAAAAAATGATTTATAAAAATATTATTGTTCGTTATAATTCATTTTTAATAGGACTCCAAGATTCGCAAGAAACACTATTTCATATAGGTTGTTTCTTTCTTTCTTTCCAAACAATTATCGTTTTATATATATGTGTGTGCGTGCGTGTGTGTTATTTGAAAAAAAAAACTTTCGGGCAGAAGCCCTCCCCCAAAATTTAATCCTAGATCTGGGCCTGGCAATAAATGTTTATTATGAAATTTTTTATTTTTTTTTGCCTTAAAGCTCTGTTGATTATTATTTTTTTGATTATTAAATGCTCATCAGTTCACCCTCGATATCAGATGAAGAAAAAAATATTGATTAACGCAAGTCACCAGGAAAACCCATTTTAAAAGTGTCGCTGATCCTAATTCTCATGAAAATTCTTCAATTAATTGATTAATTAATTAATTGAATTCAAACAAGCACATATAAGATTTTAGTCGATTTTAACTCCCTTAGCAGTTATTTAAATCATTATTACCAAGAAGTCGGTACTTCTAAGATGAGCTATAAAATGTCACGCATTACGTAACCCAAGGCCGTATTGCTCGTCCTTCCAGATATCAGAACTTGGTTCAAACGTTTCTATCGGTCAACCGCCTGTAATTCCAAAGCAGTTGTCCATAATATTATCCACTACCTAATAATATATATTAATTAACGGTACAATTTCTAAAAGAATTAAGAAATTGATAACAATGTCATTAACAAAATAACTACGGAAGTAAACAGAGATTACCACGAGATTATTTCATAATTACTTCGTGTTTAGATATTTAGTTTAAAATACAAATCTATTATATTTCTAAATACAATGTTCGCCAAATATCCTGTATTGAAAGTTATGCATTCTTGGAGTCAAACTCTCAAGAGGAAGAGTTACGGAACTGGGATCACCGATTTCAATGAAACCTTTTTTGGAGATATTAGGTCGAAAAATATTTGACCTAGATCAAGGGTATTGCCAATGTACCCTAAGAACTGAAAAAATATATATATTTTATAAAATTTTAACACTTGTAATATATTGTCTTCTGGCTTTTCTCAGAATGGATTTCTAGGTTGTAACAAATCAAACGATTATTTTTTTGTTGTGTTTAAAATAAGGATATATATATTGATGATTGTATTGAACGAATTAAAATGTATAATAAATTATAAAAACGAAATAACGTTTTCAGTAAAATAGGCCAAGTAATTTTAAGTCATATCAATTCAGATTCGTTTTTAGTGTTCTTTAAACCTCTTAAATACGAATTTGCTTTTAAATAAAAATATATCAATTTTTCGATTTGATTTTATGTGAAAATTCTTTTCTATGCCGTTTACAAAAGCATCCTTCACTTCTCAGCATTTTCTCTTGATTCAAAATTACTAAAATCGCTGGAGAGCTGAAATATTGCTGTTCTAAATCATATCAATGAATTTTAAATTTTACGTCATTATAAGCAATAAAAATAAAAGAACGTTTTTATTTTAAATCACCAGTTCTAATTTGTTTAAGCTGGTCTGATTTATAGTTTGCAGGGTCCTAAATCGCTGCTCCTAAATCGAATGGATAGGTGTGTGGTCATGTTGAAGTTTTCCACACTTTCTGTGATTGTCCAGAAAAAAAAAATTGAATACCTTGGCAAAAATTTTGAAGGAGAAATTTTTATTTTCCGTTTTCTATGAAAAATCTTATTTACCGATTTTTTGAGGTGCGAAAATACAAATTTAGTAATAAAAATATTATTCTCTTATCCCTCTATTATATTAAAAAAAAAATTAGTGACCCTGTAATACTTTATTTTACGTATACATAGCTGAATGGACTGTAAGGAAGACACCACACTTCTTATTCCCAGATTTATTTCTCCCTTATTATGGTTATAAATTGGCAATAAGAATAATTATAATTATATAATAACATAAATTGGCAATAAGGCATAATGTATAATATAAATTTTTAAAATTAAAAATTTGTCCAAACTGTGGTTTCATTCCATTTATTATATTTTGATAAAAAATAATACAATCTGAACTACAGAATACATATAAATCACAGTTATACAATTTGAGCAATGAGCAGTACAATTAAATGAATGTTTGTATAATTTGTAAAATGGCAGTTGGTCTGCTTTTGGGCGGGGGTACCCCTTAGTGTATATATGCATATGTATATGTATATGTATATGTATGTATGTATGTCTGTATATATACTTATTTTATTAATAAAATAATATATTTATAAGCATCCTAAATTAAACTTAACTCCTTTGTTGAAGGTTCCGAGGACAGTGGTGTATGCTCCCCATGCAGCTATACAAGCTCACCTTCCAGGCCTAGGTACTGCAACCCACAACTGAGCTACATGGACAGAGTTGTCATGGAGGTGCTAGAGACTGAAGCAGTATACGTCAACGATCTCAAACAAGTGATACATGTCAGTATAAATACATCTTTGTGTTAATTTCTATTTTTGTCGATTGTTTGCAACAAGGAACCTTCCATTAAAACGTAAAGTAATTAAAAAAAAATCTTAAATATAAACATTTTTAAATGTGAAGCAAGTTCATACTACATACATCACATTCTGGCGAATTGTTTATTAATCTAAACTATACGATGACTTGCTCATTTCTGAATATATATACCTCTTGTTATATATAAGTATAATTAAAATTGTTTCAAAAGCCTTTTTTTTTTTAATTTTGTTTTATAAAATTTTGAGAAATGTTTTGCCACACCTCTTTAAATTTTTTATATTTAATATGTTTCTATTTAAAAACAATTTAAATATATCATGCACTATAAAATAATAATAATAATAACCTGTACTACTAATAACCCATGAAGGGTCTTGGGTTCAGTACAATGTGAGAAAGTGCTGTTACAAGGCCAATGGTTGTGTAGGGAGGTGACGGGCCAATATCACGCTCAACCGTCACGTTTTCCTCCTTAATTAATTATTTAATTAAGAATAACTACTTTATAGACGCTGGGTTTGTCCAAGGAGGATCTCCCATCCCTAGGGTTGACCCACGGCTGATGAAAAATAACTAGTCATCAGCCGGATTCGAACCTGGAACTTTGAGCTCTGGAAGTCAGTCTGAGCTATCCTACTCCCTACAACATAAAATACTATTTCATATTAAATATTATATTTAGAATGTTTGGGATACTTATTTATCTATTATCAAATATTAGTTTAAAAGCTTTTGTGAAATTTTTAGAATAAAAAAAATGTTACTTTCATTATCTATTCCCTAAACATTGTTTCATGATTCTATGAGAAGAACATTAAGGAAGCTGTGGTGAATTCACAGGGGAGAAATTTTCCAAAACAAATATGAGAAAAAAAAATCTATTTAATATATAACTACTTGTTCCAGTACTTATGAATAACTGTAAATAAATAATTATTTATTAGGTAGGAGGATAATCGATTTATTACAATTTTTCCCATAGATAAGTTAATATTCCTTCCAAAGTCTGTGATCACTGTGGAAGTTTCCTCCTCCCTTAAAAAATAAAATAAAATCTCTATCTGCCACTGACGGAAGGTTCCTTATATGTACAAATATATATATATTTATTTGTTGGTAAAAAAATGTAATAATAAATATTAGGAAATTGTTGATTATAAAGTAATTAAAAAATAAATTATGTCAAATTTACAATTCCTTAAAATATATATTTTTTTAAGTTAATGAATCAACTAAAAATTTTGAACTTCTTTATTCAATAATAAAGGTCGAAGGTCAGTGAAATATGAAATATACTATTATTATCTATTTTTTATTCATAATTAACAAATCCTCCAATCATCATTTCCTTGATTGGATGCAAGGACATACATTTAATATACATTAAGAAATAAAATAAATTAAAACTAACTAAAAGAAGGAAATTTCCAAGAATTTTTATTCTGAAAATTCTAGAACTCCAAGAGAAGTTTCTGTTTGTTTTTTTTCTGAGATTTTGTATCTTCTTAGCTATACTTTGAAATTAAATTTAGAACTTAATAAGAATTATTTTTATTTAAACAGCTGTACTTGGCAGAGAATCATGATAATTATATTTATTACTACATAGCATGATGGACATAGCAAAGGAAATTTTTGTCGCTTTTGGCTTATGCCACCGTTATTATTATAGTTATAAACTTCTCTGTTGGACATTTAGAATCTCTAGTCTCCTTTTTCTATTTAACACTTTAAAATTGAAAAAATATTAAATTATACACGTGTAACCTCTATTTAAAAAGAAACAATACATCAAACAGCACTAGCAATAGACACTCCAAAATTCAATTGTTCTAGTAACAGACAGGGGGTCCGTACCAGTAACGGACATACCTCAGAAAAATTATAAATCATTATTTAACTATAAAGATAACAATGAAGATAAGATATAAGATAAATGTTCAACTTACTCTCAGCAAAACTGTCAGCAGGAAGGTATGAAAGACACTGACTACAAGAGCACTATAGAAATAACAATAACAAGTAAAAATTTTCTTTTGGGAATTTTGTTCATACAGTTGTCAATAGAGGGCATTGCTCTTCAATCTAGATGAAAACTGGAACCATTAAATCAACAACGAAGCTTAGTTTTACATTTAAAGTCCAACCTGTCTACCACTGTCCATAACTGGTGTGTTTGCCCTACTTACTTTTGTAAATATTAAAATTTATCCCGTACTTGGACCTTTTTGCCAATCAGTATACTTCTGTTTTAGTGCTAATTTCTGTACCTGAAGCAGTTCATGTGACTCCTTCAAATGATCTTACGTTTATCTGTGCCACGGAAGTAAACGACACTATGTCCATTTTTCATTTAATAATTTATTAACAAAGAAACAAATTTTAAGAGCTCGAAGTTATGGAAAATTAGCTCTCCTGATCAAAAAAAAATGTGACATGGTGTCCTTTACGTTCAGGGTACAAATTTAATAACTAGAAAACGATTCTCACTGTTATAAATGAGATAATAATTCTCAAAAGCAAGATAATTAAATAAAAGACCTTCAATAAATATTTAAATATATTTACTGTTTCAGGGATACTTAGAACAATTATCAAACAGTGAAGATAGCCCCGTATCGGAGGATCAATTAGAGGATTTATTTGGAAATTTGAGGCAAATTTATTCATTCAACAGGTAAAACACCTAACATTCAATAATTTATAATTCATACAATAATTCAATAATAACTTATAATAATGAAACCTACAATGCTATGGTTACTGGCAGCTGTTTACTCATTTGAAGATCTTCAGAGCCTAGCATTAATTAGATACAGGTTGTAGCCTGTAGTGGTATCAGTGACTAGTTGTTCCTGTTTCTCAATAATACCTAATACTTTATATCCATTGGCTAACCCAGTAATCTCCATCCCTCTCCCACTCAGTATTTTGTTTTAATTTTTTTGAATAATATTAATGTATGCATTAATATTTTGTGAAAATGTGGTCATGATTTTAGTACTTAATAGGAAAGTACTATTAGTAAATACTACATTATAATGAAAGAGTTTATTGTTTTAAAAACAATATAACACAATTTAAAAACAAAGACTTAATAATGATGAGAGCATTCAATAAAACACTATTAAAACTTGAACTCTTTTGTTGTAAGGATACTCAACATTCTTTGTTTTATGAAATTTTGAATAATTGAGTCAAAATTCAATGTTATTACTATGTTAGATCTAACAGCCAACACTTTTTTTTTCTTTTTAAATGATAAAAACCCATCAAATTCCTCTTGTATTCAATCCAAAATCCTTCTTAAAATCCTCAATGCTCCCTACTTTGTTACAAATAGAATCATCCATAATGGCCTTCATGTTCCTTATGTTTTAGATTTGGTCCAATCCAGATATCTATCCTTCCATAATAAACTTCAGAATCAATCAAAACCTTCTCATTTCTAACATTGCTTGCTCTTTAATTCCTGATAACCATCCGAGGCGCCTGAAAAGAAGATGACATATTATTAGAGTGCTACCATTGGGTAGTTTCTCTACAAGTGTTTTCACGTCATTATATCCATTAGTACAAATTTACTAGATGTATTTATTTGATACAGTTGTATTAAAATAAGTTTTAAATAACATTAAAAAATAAAAAACGTAAGTACACTACACTGGGTCAGGGCATGATATAAGATTATTTTTATAGTTTCTTATTTATTATAAATTGGAATCATTTTTAGTCAACACTCAATTGATTTTTACTTTCACTTACCTTTTTTTTTTTTTTTTGTTCTTCCCTACCTTGCCTTTTAGGCTATACGGGATTTTCCCGGGCCGGGGGGTGAGGGCGGGGAATTTAAAATCCCCTCCGGCACCGGGACGCGAACTCGTACTTTTTATATCATCTCAAATCTCTGTTATCCGGTTGCCAGGCAACTAGCGGTGCTGTTACACACGCTTTAGCCTATTCGGCCCCCCCGCCCCCAAACTTTCACTTACCTAAATATGTAATCAATAGTATGCGATCATGAAAATTTTCAAATCTGGGATTTCAACGGAAATACACGTTTTGAGGTCCCCTGAGTCCTAATAACCAAGTCCAGCAAAATGGTCTGTGTATGTTTGAACAGTCTAGCTCAAATACAAAAAGTCGTACAGAACTAAAATTTTGTATTTAAGGTTCATACATTGACTGTGATGTTAGAGAAACTTTTTCATCGAAATCGGCTAACCGGAAGTGCCACTTTATATCTTCAATTTTATGTTGTTATGTTGTTAATTTTATGTTTATATCTTCAATGTTATGTTATTATCTGTTTATTCCGAAAAAAAAATCATGTCCACTTTTAGAAAACTAAAATAGTGAATAATTTGATGAATTTTCCTGTTGTGATACCCCAACAGTATCCACTTACAATTAATGTGACAACTTTTGACCTTTGACAGACAATGCAAATCTCGTAATTTCATTTTAGTAAACTTTGCAATGGAAAGTAAGTTTAATAACCAATAGTCATACAATCCATAATCAACGGATCAAACAATCCATAAACAACCGTTGATATAATAAATCGGATTTTGTTATTTTAATGGTATTAATGATTTGTTAGCAGTAAGCTTTAGCTTGCTTCAAAATGCACTTCAAAAATTTTATAAAATTGCCAGAAAATAATTTTTATTCAAAGTAGAGCGATAAGTGAAAGTTGAGTGTTGCGCGCACCACATTTTTTATATTTGTATAAATTTAAAAATGTCTTAATAATTTAACCAGCGAAAATTTTTATTTCTGAAGAGGTTAAAATTAATTAAATAGGCACAGTAATACTAGGATCTTTTGATTCCACCAGACTATAATGACTCTAACTTACAATTGTATAACTTATGTTAAGGATGTTGCTTATGTTTCATATCTCTTCCTACAAAGATATTATTATCATATTAATTAAATAATATGATTCCTATTATTGACTATTGTGCTGATAAATGATATCAGTTATATAACATGTATAGTTTATGATATGTCAGTATAATAAGATAGCGATACATTGGTTACAGTACCTTCCTCAAAGAGCTCCAGGAATGTGGACTTGATCCGGTGAGGATAGCAAGGGTGTTTGTCAAGAACAACTCCGGCTTTTCAGTATACACCGATTACTGCACTAACTACCCAAGGTATGAATACTTCAGTTTATTTTCTTTATTAGACCATACTATAAATCATTGTTAATTTCTTGAGCCTTATAGATGAGGCACAGTGTTAAAATTGTTCGTTTATTTCTTAAACAAATTATTTCCTGATAGTACAAGCAGATACAAGAATGTGATGAAGAGATTCCCAACGTTAGGTTCCAAAAATTAAATTTAGTTCATTTCATTTCTATCACCAAAAGGAGTGGAAGAAAAACAAGTGTGGATTCTATCCCTTTGTCAGCTAACCGCTTGATCTGCCTCTGCTAAGCAATATTAGTCGGTCACCCAAAAAAGATAAATCATTCCCTTTGTAAATTTGTCCCATTATTTTATAGAACGACCTGTAGGCTTCTTTAGTATGTGAGGCCCAATGTGACTGCTCGGTACTCTTACAGCTTATTCCGTCCCTGATCACTGGTTCTTGTTATTTTTATAAATTTGCTTCTTTATTTTTTTTAATAATTGTTGATATCATAAATGAATACCATTTTATCAACATAGTAAAGTGTATCTTTTAAAGACTTTGAAAATAAACCAATTTAGTCAGTATTATGAGTACAGTTAGTATGTAAATGTTTTATCAAAGCGTTGCAGTATTTCAATATGGGAAGATAGCCAGGATAATAAGTTGCAATTCTTACTTCCAAACATAGTAAACAGTTGGGCATTTGTTAAAATTATTTAGGACATCAGTTAGCATTGCTAAAAAATAAAAGTTATCAGATAATGACTAAAATTTTCAATAACTCAATTGTATTAATAGTCTTCAACATTTATAACAACTTATAAAAAGTTGTTAAATTTTGTTCAACTATTTGTTTATATTTCATTCAATAATAATAATAGTCCATTGTAAATGACACATCTGTGTTTAGTTTACAATTGCAATCACAGATTTCTTCTTAATTTTTTCTTATTTTTGAGTAAAAATTTATAAATTTTAATCATTTCTGATGAATTTAACTATAATATTAATCATTAATGATGATAAAATTTTTAAACGTTTGAAGTGACTAAAAATATATTTTATGAATATTTTCCTAACTAGTTGCAACTAATGATTAAAAAATTATTCATGTAATGATTATTATTTTTTTGTGGGTAAAAATTTATTTGTCAATCATAATAACAGTCAATCATAAATCGGATAATTATCGTCCAGTTCTTATAGTATATCACTTACTAAAGTTATCCATGAATTTATTTTTCCTACTAGAGTATACCCATAAGATACAAATGATTTGTTTTACTCCATACCATTCAACAATCACCCATTCAGTATACAACAATTCTCCCATAAACATGTTTTGTATGATGACTGACATTAAGCTGTAGTTGATGTTGAACACAGGGCAGTAGAAGTGCTGACGAGGTTGATGTGCCAGGAGAGGGTCGTGCAGGTGTTCAGGCAGAGGCAGGCAGCTCTGGAGCACACTCTTCCGCTCGGCTCTTACCTACTCAAGCCAGTCCAGAGGATACTCAAATACCATCTCCTTTTACAGGTATGTACTAAATTTCAAAATTAATTTCATCATAAAAAAATCTGGTGCGGTGCGTGCACATCACACAACTTTCACTTACCAAAGGGAAAATGAAAGTAAAAATTATAGACGCTATATTTATTTATTCATAATGATGTAGAGGTTGACCATAGATATAATATGAGAAGGAGTTGATCGGGGGGTGCGGTCAAATAAATACTAAATTAAACAAATATATTTAATTTTTGCCGACGTTTCGACCCACTTTGAAGGTCTTCCGCAGTGCTACATCCTATGCCCTGAGGAAGACCTGCTAAGTGGGTCGAAACATCGGCAAAAATTAAATATATTTGTTTAATTTAGTATTTATTTGACCGCACCTCCCCGATCAACTTCTTCTCATATATTTCTTTATATTTCATTGTGGGTATTTTTATTTGTTCAAATAGCATTATATATATACAAATCTTAATATTTATATCGCTGTTGTCTATACAATTAAATATTAAATAATACCAACGATAGCATTTATGAAAACCGCATATGTATATTGTAAAATTACATTCCCTTCGAAAAGTAAACAAAACAGTTTGTGAATAAAATTTATTTTATGCAATAATTATTTCTCAGGTTGGAGTTAGCACTGTCATTTATTTGAATTGGTTTGTCGGCTACTTAGACCAGCGCAATACTTTCATTATCTTTAACTAATGAATTTTCCCCATACAAACTAACTTTTGACCCCTCTGGAATTTCCAAAATTTCTTTTGCCTCACTATCAAATACCATTTTGTTTATTTAAAACAATAGTAAAGTGAAAAAATAAAAATTAACAAGGATTGTGGGTTTAGTTGTCGTGGCTATGTACATTTTCAAAGCCACGCTAATTGGGCACCATGTTGTAAGGTTACGTTTTCTTCGAAAAGTAAATAAAATAGTGTGTGAATAAAATTATATTTATTATATGCAATAATTATTTCTGAGGTTGGGTTGAGACAATAAACACACATCCTCAATTATACAATATAAAAGCATACATTAATTATACAGCACATTTATGAATTTCCATTGTTTGTCGGGGTTTAATCTTGGCGCGCTTCCAACTGTCCATTTATATTTCACTCACCCTGTTCTGCAGTGAATCTTCCTCGGTATTGAATCCAAATTCTACAACTTCCTCTTATTCTATTATTTTCTTGTCTTCGTCCTATTGTCGACACTCACTACTTGCCAACTAACATTTTCTTCTCACCGATCCTCTTTACTAGGCGGCTGGCTACCTTCTGCCTCTTTCTCTCTTCTTCCCCTACCATCTGTCATTCTTTGTCCATGTATTGGTAAGTATTAAATAAGATTAAAATATTTACAGTCCTTTGAAATCTTGAATTTGATAAGACAGCCATTTTTTTTATAAACACTATTATATATGATAAATCAAAGGGAGTGCATCATTTTCAGGTATTTACAATGTTTTGCCATAGATAAATAAAGTCAAAATTTACAAGAACATTTTTGAAAGTTAACCTATATCAAAACTGTACTTATTGACTTTTTGCAATAAACCGACGATATACATTATGTGAATACTCTTCACTAAGATTAAAATTTTATTTAAAAATTAAATAGAATATTCCAATTAGTTTTCAGAACAATTTTAGCAAAATTGGTTAAAAATCTTCCTGTAAATATTTTTCAAAAAATCTGACAGAACACTAATTGGAAAACACTGATTTCTAATCACTTTTTCAGTTTAATGTTATTGAATTCACTTGATTTTTTATCACATATTTATTTATGATTCATGAGTAAACTACTTTAATTTTTTTTTTTTTCGGTTCTATAAAGAACATGGTGAAGAATTGCATCGGAGATAGTGAAGGTTACGGAGATATAGTTGATGCATTGTCAACAATGACAGGCATAGCGCACCATATCAACGACATGAAGAGGAAACATGAGCACGCTGTGCGTGTACAAGAAATACAGAGTCTTCTCCTTGGTTGGCAGGTAGGTAATACTGCTATGAAATACTAATCTTATAAATAGTTTTTCATTTTGAAGACATAACGTTTATTGGCAATTATATTAATTGTATATATAATTAATAGATTTTTAAAGAAACTTCAAATATTTTATGGTATAAAACTTTATGTTTTAATAACTCAATAATACATGATATATAAGTCCGGATATAATGTTTATAGGGTGAGGATTTAACAAGGTATGGTGAGCTGTGCGCTGAAGGTACCTTCAGGATGTCAGGGGCTAAAGCGTTAAGGCATGCTTTCCTTTTTGACAACATGCTTTTAATCACAAAGAAGAAGGAGGAAGGCATTCTTCAATACAAAGCCCACATAATGGTATGGTATCAATTTTTCTTTTAATACACTTTTTTTTTATATTGCAGTGTAAATTCTTTTCAACAGAATGTTTTGTTTATGGATGATTTTTAAATATCTCAGTCTGGTAGTGTTAAAATTTAGTCCCCTTAACAAAGGGGTCAGTCCTCAGACTGATGAGAACAGAAATATTTTCATCACTCAGAGACATTTTAACATATCACCCTTCTTTAATATATATAATTCCTCGGACTGCCTGTTGTGGAGAAATTTCACTGTACTTTAGTTCTTTATTTTATTTATTAATTACTAGTTATCACTAAATTATTAAATTATTTATTATTATTTTCAGTGTTCAAATCTGATGCTGATAGAAAGCATCCCTGGAGAACCTTTTTGTTTCCATGTCATACCTTTTAATAATCCAAGGCATCAACATACATTACAGGTAAATTGAAATGAAAAAAATTGATTATTATTCATCATTTTTCAATTTTTACTAAATTTTCAATTGTGTGAGGTCTGAAAGAAATTGATTTTTTTTTTAAAATATTGTTTTAATTTTTATTGTACTTTTCTATGAGATTATTTTTGTAAAGATTTTTCAAAGAGTAGAATAGTTTAAATAAAACAGGAAACACCCCTAAACTGAAAATTAATCTGTTTCGTTTGGTTTTCGAGTTCAGATTAAAGTTTTGGTTAAACATTTCCTGTTAAAAATTCCTATTTGATCATTTCCATTCTATGTTTTTTGTTTCAGCTTAAACTTATCTAATTAAGTCAGTAAAATGAAATCTTAATTATAAGTAACACTTATATCAGCTATTCTCTTTTTTTTCTTTTGTTTTATCTTACTTTGTTATCATTTTCAATTATCAGTTTAAATTTACCATTTGGTTTGAATGCATTCTTCATCCCAGATCCTGTTTAGAATAAATTTATTGTATAATGATGAGTGAATGAATTTTTTTCTTTTTCTCCCGTTTCTCACCTTTTATGGTATACAGAGGTTTTCCTGGGAAAGGGAATAGAATTATGTCAGAGTTAAGAGCCCTCATGCCCCCGGCACCAGGACTTAAACTTGTAATCTTCAGTTTATCAGGTTGCCCGTATTTTAAACAAATGTTAGCCCACTCGGTTATCCCGTCCTCAAATTGAATGAGCTATCATTCATTATTATTGATATAAACTATATCAAGTCTTCCTTCATGAATGTGGAAAGGAAAATGAGCAATGAAAGTACTCAGTATAGTCGAACTCAAATAAAAGCCAATCTCGAATCCCTTCAATCTCTTGCCACACCATCTGACCATCTTAGTTTTGGGCTCCCTCTTCTTCTTGTGCCGTAGAGAGGTTCCGTCAGGATCATCCGAGGGATTGCATCATTCTCCATCACATTGCTACATGACCAGCCCATCTCAATCTTCCACGCTTCATCCTCAGAACGACATCTTGATCATTAAAAGTTTAGCAAATCTTGGCATTTGTCCTTCTTCTCCAATTTCCATCAATCTGTACTCCTCCAAATATTCTTCGAAGAATTTTTCTCTTGAATATGAAATAGACTCTCATTTCACAGGGGAAAATTTTCAGAAAAGAAAAAAAAATCCCAGCAATATTTGGGCGAATATGGTAATATTAGTTAGTTTAAACAGCTTGAGATATTTATAGTTATCAATATATTAATTATTATTAATTTATATTATACTAGGGGCATAACCCCTGTCTGCCTAATGACGGACTGACTCCCATTTTACAAATTATACAACTGTTCATTTAATTGTACTACTCATTTCTCAAATTATATAACTGTAATTTACATGTATTCTGTATTTCAGATTTTATTATTTTTTATCAACATAAACAAAATAAATGGAATGAAACCACAGTTCAGACAAATTTTTAATTTCTTACATATCTAAATTATACACATTGCGCCTTACAACCAATTTATATTATTATATAATTATAATTATTCTTATTACCAATTTTTAACCATAATAAGAGAGAAATAATTCTTGGAATAAGAAGTGTGGTGTTTTTGTTATGGTCTGTCACGCTTTGCATATATAAAATAAAACATGACCCACCCAGTCACTAATAAGTTTTGTATGCAATAGAGAGATGGATGTAAATCTTAAACAGTTTATAATTTAATAAAATTTCCCTTAGGCTAAAAGTCTTGAACAGAAGCGGGAGTGGACTCTACAGTTAAAGAGAGTAATACTGGAGAACTACAATGCTGTGATACCTAGTCATGCAAGACAGCTCGTAATGGAGCTTGGCCAGAACAGAACTGACGGTAAGAAATGAAAATATTATTTAAATATATTTAAAGAAATGAAAAGAAACATTAGTCACATTTTAAATCAATGCATAGATAGCTCATAATCTTCTTTGAGGAAATAAATATTCAATATTTTATTTTAATTTTTTTTTATGTGCATATCCTATATAATAATTACACAATATAAATTCACACAACTATGGTAAAAAAATATTACATTTTGTAAATGATTTTCTACAGCTTTTAAAATAAAAATTTTTAAGAAATATCTGTGTTATTCAGGAAATGGTTAAATAGGTAATAACAAATAGATCTGACTATATCCGTATAGTCATTTCTTACGACAGTAAGGAAAGTAAAAAAGAAAATGAAAAAAATAATATAATAAAAATTATAATCTTCAAATATACTTCATCATTATTTATAAAATAGGATTTACTCATCATCTCATCTGTTGATTAATATGAAATGAAATGAAATGAAAAAATAATTTAATTCTGGAACTACTGTCCCCTAAGAATAATAACAGAGTTACAAATTTATGGATCTTAGTCTGACATAATAAAAATACAAACTAATTTACTGTTAATTGTTATTTCAATTGTGCAATAGATTGAAATTAAACATTGTATAGATGCAAGTAATTTTACATGTTAGGGGAAGTTTTAATGTGGAGTAGGTGTTGGAACAGGAGTTGTTTGAAGGAGTTTGTGGACGAGGATTGACACATCGAGGTAGGAAGTGAGTTCCATAAGGAAGCAGCACGAATGACGAAGGATTTGCTGAAGGAGGAAGTTTTATGGAAAGGAATATTTAAGTCTATAGGTTGAGACCTAGTATTGAGAGAGTGGATAGAGGAGAGTAGAGTAAGGAGTTCCAGGATGTAGAGATGGTTTTTGGTTCTGAAGACTTGCAAAAGGAAAACGCCAAGAAGGAATTGTCGTCGGGAAGTAGGATAAAGCCACTTCAACTCCGTGTACCATAGTGAAACATGTGAACGTCTGGGGATCCCGAAAATGTATCTTATGAAACAATTCATGAGTCTTTTTAGTCTCATTTCCAGCCTGGCAGATAGCCCTCTATACACCAAGCAGCCTTAGTCGAAGTGGGGGAATACAAGGGAGGTTACAAGGATCTGTCTGGTTTTTAGAGGAATACAATCACGGAATCTTTGGAGTTGTTTAAGAGCAGTTATGGATTTTCGGGTAATCTGGGAGATATGGTTATTCCAGGAGAGGTCCTGGTCAAAGGTTACTCCTAGGTTTTTGACTGTAGGGAAAAATGGATGGGACGGATATTGTGGTTAAGTAGAGAAAAGTAAGGAAGGGAGCTGATGAGATGTCTGGGCCCGATGATAATAGCCTTGGTTTTATCTGCATTCAACTTTAATTTTTTTATTTCTGCCTATCTGTTGATGCAGTCGATGTCCTCTTGTAGCCTCCGGGCAGCCTCAGGCATCTCAGAAGGTTGGAATGATTTATATATTTGGAAATCATCGGCATATAGGTGGTAACTGGAGTGTTGAATATCAGTCCCTTATTTCCACAGTGAACTCAAATTGATTTTAATGGAAACTGAGGAGATAAGAATCGATTCTAATGTAACAACACCCATTGAATCTGATAGTGCAATTTTTTTTGTCAAGGAATGTAATGAAACTTATATTTCTTAAGTATTCTTAAAAACAAAACCATCAAAAGCCTTTTTAACTGTTTTGTCCAAATGAAAATTTAAAATAAATGTATTTTATTGTAAACAAAATGTTAATTTTTTATAACGTTGTTCCTTCTTCCTCCCAAATCATACACTATTGTTCTCTTTTAAACAAATCCCAATGGACCTTTTTTTTTGTTCAAAAATGAGCCTGAAAGTTTATTTCATTCTGTAAAAACACTATTCAAGTTCAATATTTTCTTATTATTACTGGAATAATCAGTGATTTTCAGAAATATAACGGGGACCGAAAAGTAAGTTTTGCGCATGTCTCTATATGTCATTTTGTACATTGAGTGCATCAAAGTCATGGCAAAGACATTCTAAGGTTATAGTGACATTTAGTTGTAAACAATTAAATTAAAATTTTTTTGTTTTCAATTTTGGATGAAATGGCCAACCAAATACCAGAAGAGGTACATACCCGGCATTGCATGCTTTTTGAGTTTCACAAGAGTAATAACGTAACAATTACTACAAAAAAAATCTGCGATATTTATTCAAATAATGCAGCAGAGGTTCATAAATGCCAAAGGTGGTTTTTAAGTCCAAATTCGATAATCCGACTCATATCGATCAGACAATCGAGGAATTGTCAAACTATCTTAACTTTGGTCGTCAATGGACCATCCAAGAACATTGACAGCAGATTGGGAAACTACCACATACAATTAATTGCTTCAACGGCACAATACAGAAACATTTTTTGATCGCTTACTTACCAGAGATGAAAAATGGGTTCTTTATGATAATCCTAAATGCAAAAGGCAGTGGCTCTCTCCAAATGAATCAACACAAAGTTTATGTTAAACCAGGTTTACACCCCAAAAAACCCCTTTTGTGTGTTTGGTAGAATATTCGCGGCATTGTTCATTTTGAAGCGCTGAAATCTGGACAAACTGAATACAGACCTATGTTGCACCATCGGATTTCCATTTATTCTGATCACTTCAACACTTTCTAAGTGCAAAAGATTTGCAAATTTAGATGATATCCAAAATGCTATCTCTATAAAACCAATGGATTCTTATCGATCCAGGATTGAAAATTTAATAAATTCAGTAAATGGATACTTCCTGCATAACTGCATCACATATTGATTCGTATTTGATAAATATAATTGGTATTATTTTGATTTAGATTACAAAGTGAATTGTGTTGAGCAAACTAAATCAATTAGGACACTAAAGAAGCTCATAATATCTTCTCTTTTGTCTAACTGCCTCAAATTAATGATAATTATAAATTCAATCCATTATTGGGATCTGAAACATGTTATTGATGAGACAGCAAAATTTAAAACTTGTTTTTTAATTAAGAAAGCTTTTGTTTTAAATTTACATAAAGCTAAAAATTAAATGAATGGTTTCTATTAGTGATTTTTTTTTTATATCACTGTTATTTTGTAAAAAAGGATTTTGTATTACTGTATTACCTCTTTTACAGATGTGCCATCTCTGGAAAAGAATACACCGAAGAGGATCCACTCCATTCCAGAGTACCTAGAACGACGGAAGCAGGAACGAAGGAAGAGTGAGGGTAGCTTCATGAGGGTCAGGCTGAGAAGTAAATCTGCAATCATGAAGGTTTGTTTGAGTGTACTTTGATTAAACAAACATTCAATTTTGTCTTTTCCTATCAGTCCAAGACTTCGCTTGAAGTCCTATACTGCCATTTTAAATTTATCGTGAACATTTAATTTTTTTATATATACTGGATTGGCAAATAAGTTCTTTTGGTTTTTCAGGGCGAATAAAACAAATTATAGACATAAAATTTATTTTAATCTACAATATATTTACCATTATTTGATATGACTTTTTCCCATCTTTCCACTAACTGCATAATGCCATGTTCATAGAATGTCTGGAGTTTATTGTTAAAAAACGGATCCAAGAGGTTTTTGATTTCCTCTTCCTTTTGGAATTTCTTTCCATTCATGAGTTCTAGAGAGACCGGAATAAGTGGTAGTCACTTGGAGCTAGGTCTGGTGAATAGGGAGGGTGGGGCAAAACCTTTCATCCAAGGCTCAATAATTTATTGCGAGTGACCAATGAGGTGTGGGATGTAGCGTGTTCTTGGTGGAACCCAACACCCTTCCGATCATTCGTAACTCTTCAGGATGTTCTCTAAATTAGATGTTACTATATCCGTTGAAAAGCTGAATTGTCGCTCTTCAAAGCCTGATTGGGTTTTTGATTTAATGCCAACATAAGGAATAATAAATAAAAACTTATAGGTTTTTATTTTTTATCTCTATTTGTAATTTGTTTACGAAGGTCCTGTTGATGTAATTTTGTGTAGCTTATGTGGCCCTAAATTCCTGCTAAATTTCTTGTAGATAGTTAAGTCGTATTGAAGTTATAACATTTTTTGTGATTTTTTGTAAAAAAAATCATGTATGGGACCAAAACATTAAGCCTTGAAACATAGCCGACCTTGTGCAAATGGTTTTCTAAGCTTTTGTGCGACACATTTAGGGCCATAGCAATCTCTCGCACTGATTGGGTGGGATTTTGATCAACAATGGCCTTAACATTACTCGTTTCAATTTCATGTGGACGACCAGACTGTTGAGCATCATTGATGTCAAAATTTCCTGAATGAAATTCGGTAAACCAATTTTGACAGGTGCGTTTGGTTAAGCCATCATCCCCATAAATACTGCAAATTTTTCTATGAGCTTCTGCAGCACACTTGCCTTTTTTAAAATAATACAACAAAATATGCCGAAAATGAATGATATTTTCTTCTGTATTCACAGTGCAATAGCAAACATAATACTAAGCTACTTTCAACAAGAGTTAACCGATATAGTTGTTGACATATTACAAACAGGATAAACAATCTACTTTAGGGATTAATTCATGAGATAAGAAATGTATCATAGTGACATAAAAATAAACAGAAAAACAAAAAGGACTTATTTGCCAACCCTATATATGGACTAATTTGTCATCAGTTTACAGACCAGTGATGTCCCAAACAGTTATTATTACTATTCTTTGGTCATCAAATAAATTATAGCTTAAGTGATCAATTTTTTACTAGTAAAGATTCTGAACAACCATTTGGTTCCCATCTATTTCGTGTATGAAATAAATATTCATGTGAACCTTGGCAAAACAGAGGGCATAGTTTTTTTGTTTTCATTATAAAGAAAGGGAAAGAAAAAAATATTAATCAAATTAAAAGTTAACTTTGATCGATACAGAAGATTTTGGTCACACTTAAGAAAAAAAAATTAAGTCAGTATGATTGAAAATATATAGTCTCAATAATTTATTATATGGTATCAATGTTTAAGAATCTCAACATATAATAAATCTATTTACTTATTAAATGGTTCACCATTGTTTTCACTTATTCATGAATCAAAAGAAAAGCATTCACAATTATTTCAAAATAAAATATAAAATAGGTAAAAGAACATCAATGGTAGAGTGGTTAGATACATGTAAAACTCTCAGATATCTTGTATGATCAGATATGATAGATCAGATTAATAAATAAACTTAAGAAACGAGAGAATTTTTCTTAATTCTTTTTCAATTGTTACTGATTCATATTAATAACTGCTTATTTTTCTTTTCTTTCGCATACTATTACTTTGATTTTTAAATTTATATTTAAAATATATTGTTTATTAATACTTCTTACACAATAAAATATTTTTATATCAATGATTGTTTATTAAATTGTCATGTTTATAATTTTCAGGGTCAGGTTAGGCAGCGGAGAGAAAATAAAACGCAATCAGAGGGTAGCCAAATAGCGACCACCGAAAATAAAGTGGTATGTATTCAAAATAAAATTATTAATTAATTTTCTGATTTATTTTAATTAACTTACCTACATTATGAGTAATTATAAAATATTAACTATACTATTCATAAAAAATATTTTTAATTTTTAAATATCTTCAATACTCAAATTTTTAATCATTTCTATAGGATACGGGTGGATCCGAAGCTGAAGAAGTTTGCTACCCTGCTGAAAATCAAAGTCAGGTAGAACACACTGAACCTGACCCTGGAGGCTGTACGGAAACCCAAACAGAAAATGATCAACCGAAAGAAGAAAGAAAGAAGAGCTTGGAGGAGATAGTGAGTCAACTTCTCATGCAGAATAAAGAGTTTCAAAGAGTATTACAAAAACAGCGCCATATTACTAGCAGGCGAGCTAGGGTAGAGACTAGTGATGAAGAAGATGAGGGGCTGTCAAGGTCTTCAGGAAGCCTTCAGAGAGTGGAAGGGGACTATGACAATTTGTGGCAGCTCAAGCGAACACGCTCGTTTGTTAACCAACCTCAGAGTTCCCCTGAATTATCACTTTCTGGTAGTCAGATATCAGTGGATGGACCAACATCACCAGCAGTCTGGCTCAAGCAACAGCGTCAACACCTTGCATCTACCCCTACATCAACAAAGGCTGGATCTCTTCCGAGAGGTTTTCAATTGGGCACTCCTGATTGGCACAAAGCCAGAATATCACCAGATAGGCCATTTACAATAGCTTCTGATAAAGCTCAGGAATTGAATCTTGAGGATATGGAACGCTACGTAGAAAGCCAGCATTCTATTGCCCGACACAGGTTCCCATTGCCTGATGATACAGAGGACGATAGCACACCTGATACCAGCACCCATGATCTATTGCACCCAGAGCATAAGATCTACAAGACCAGTCTTACAAAAGCTACCATAAAACAAGTCATATCAACAGTTAGTAACAAATTAGCAAGCTTACGTCTTAGCTCAGAGACCCTAGATCAAATAGAGACTGAGCACCGTGCTAGTAAGATCAGGCAAGCGTTCACCAAAACATTTAGGCAGAAAAAGCAAGAAGAAAGAGGTCTGCCAACTTATAAGCAGGGTAGTTCAGCCCTCGGAGCTAGAATAGCACACGGTTCTGAAACATCAGATTATGCTGACCCTAGAACGCTCTTCCCCAACATCACTAGTTCCAAGAAGGCAGCCTCCCTCCTAGGCATAAGGCCCTATTCTGTTTTCTCTCTAGCTTCAGAACTGGAGACTCCCAAATCAGCAAGTAACAAGCAGAATGAGGAAGAAAGTAACTGTTCTAGATTGAAGCAAGATGAGACAGTCGAGAGTGATGGGTCAGCTGACAGCTATTATGAAAGATCCTTTGAAGCCATTGAGTCGACAATGCTCGGGGATGTTTGTAGAGATTCAGCAATTTTTAGTGATCCTGAAGAAGTCCTGGAGCAATATATTCCAAAAAGCCTTAGCAACAAAAAGATTCCACCACCTGTACCTGACAAACCACCCAATCTAAGGGCATCATACTTTCAGATGAGCTGTACAAAGTCTCTTCCCCAAATTAGTTCAACGAGGGAAAGTGATGTAGAGTCGAAATTGGATGATGATTATGATTCTTGTTCAATCGCTTCAACTGTCATAGAAAATACCAGTTTGTCGAAAGGTTGGGTTAGACATGTCATCTGTAAAATACAAGGAGAACAGTCTTCATTTTGATGTCTTCCAACTTAGACAATATGTTTCGATAAATCATTATGTATAACTATGTATTATAATAATGTATATAATTACCATTATCTATATCATTAATTGTAATTTATCAGGGACAAGACAATATTTAATATTATTTATGATATTTAGTTATTTATAGACATTCGTATTTCCTTGTTTCAATATTTTTTCATTTTTATATGTACATATTACTTCATTGTAAATTTATTGTCTTTGAGAGTGAGTAGTAGATTCCTTTTTCAAGTGCAAATAAATTGTTAAACAATTAACTGTATTTTATTATCATACACAAGCCTATATCACTAACCTATATAAATTATTTACCATGAATTTAATAATATGTAAAATTGATGAAGACATTTCAGTCTGTATTATGTAGTAAAGCAAATATATTTTTTGTATTACCTTACATATCTGTATACCAGAGTAATCTATTGCACACCCCAATTTGATTATTTTGATTTTATTATCGTATTTGCAATATTCTCGCAATATTTCCAGGAGTAGCATATCGTAAATAAGTTATGATGTAATAAAAAGTAGAGCAGTTCAAATATAAAGATTAACCACCATCCGTAACAAACGATACAATTAGATCTGAAACTTTGCTCTCTGTTCAAACTTTTGAAAAGGTTGCTTACAATAGCTTATCTCTGAGGTACAGATATATGAATTGAAATAGTTTACTTCAACAACTTATTCAGTTAATAATTGGAGTGAGAAATACTTTATTTCTCGTTAAATACATCAGTGATAGTTACTTGACTAATAATCACAGGTTATAGATAAATATAACTTTTTTTCTTCTTAACTGCTTTGTTTTTTATTCCCTCTCTTAAACTCTATAATGATTTATAATACTGAATTACATCAAACACAAGAATCACATATATTTAAGACACACCTATTGAAGTAAGCTTAAAAACATAAATAAAAAAAGATAACTGTAATAAAATAAATTTATGAAAACCATACATGTATATGTTATAATATTATTGGAGTCCGCACATGTTTGGAAGCCAATCCTGACAATTTGGCTAAGCCCAAGCAATAGCTCGTGTTTGTTTGGTAATTCTTGGTCCCACATTACCATCTCTTATTGCTCCTCAAGTTATCAAATTCTTTCACAGTTTAAATTTAACTATTTTTTATTACTGGTTATAATGCTAATTACCATTAATTTTAAACTGATAAACATAGGCATTATCCCGCTTGTCCACCCCGTCCTCACCCCAGTTGCAGTTGTTGAGTAGGTTGCGAGCATCTCTGCTAAGTGTTCTTCTACCTGAGCCAAGATCATCTTCCTCTCGCCTGATGGAGCCTTCCATCCAACAGTTTTCCGGGCATGAGTGCAATGTGGCCAGTCCACCTCAGTTTTCCCAACATGATAAACCTCAGTATGTCAGCCTCGCCATAAAGTTGATAAATTTTGAAATTCGTCCTCCGCCTTCAGTCCTCTCCATATATTCATACTGATATAATGAATTTAATCAAAATCGTTGGAGCAGTTTTTGAGAAAAAAGGAAAAATGTCTCATCGATCATAAAAAATGCCACTTTCGACTAGTTGATTATAGCAAAAAAATTGTAATCAGGAATAAAGGTAGTCTACAAAAATATTGGGCAGTTTAGCATGACCTCCATCCCCAACATGTCAAAATAATGATGTTATATTGGCCAAATAGCCCAATATTTTTATAGGCCATCTTTTTTTTCTTCCCATTTTGTTATTAAATTATCTTACGATTCAAGTGGAAAGCAAATATGTATTCATAAGTTTTTAGAAAGTAATTAAATTAATTCAATGAGGAAACAATCCATTTTTGACAATTTTTGAAGATAAAAATTTGTATATTACTATAAGATAAAGCTATTCCCGTTTTAGGCTGATGTTAATAATTTGAAAAAAGGAGTCTGTATCACTGACTATATATAAAATTAAGTGTAATGAATGTGATGGAAGATATTATGTTTGTGTAACATTCCACAATTTAGAAAATTGGTTGAAATGCTAAACAAATTCCAAAATCTAATATATATAAGTATTATAGCACATGCCTTTGTAAACCATTACATTCTTCGCAAGTCTATCTCCTGTTCAATGTTAGTACTAGGTCGTTTACATAGTCTGTTTGTGTTGTTAGTACATTATCGATGTATAAGGGAGAAAAGTTTTATGTCTTAACGTAAACGCAATTTGTTACATTGTACTTAGTTCAATCTTGTTTTCTGCAACTTATACCAATCATGCAGTTTTTTAACTGAAGTTGGAGTATTAGTGAGGCCTATGTAGGGTATTTGTGTTTCATTATTAACAGTCATCTGTGTGTCTTCCTAACATGATGCTGGGATCGTCTAGTATGTTGAGGTACTTTTGCTAGGTCTGGAGGACTAGAAAAATTTTTAAACCAAACGTCAAGCTTGGAGAAAGTTCTGTCTGGAGACTGACAGTATTCTGTCCGCATGCCAAATTAATAAAATTCCTTGAAAGAAGGCTCAGCAGGGCATGCAAGATACACTCACAATCAAGAGAACATAAAGAAAGCATAATATATTTTTAAATGTGTATAGTTGTGATTATTTACGATATAAGTATACCATGAATAAGTTTGGTCAGACCATGGAAACAGACAACATACACCCACATCACACATACACAGTATCTATAATATAATCAGAGACAAAGAAAAATGAATAATAACCACCAGCATGATAAAATGATCAATCAATTCTCTTACACCAAAAAAATCTGCTTGACACCAATGGAATCTCCCCACCCCGCAACAGAAAGGATTATTAGTAATCAAACCCTATCTCCTTAAATTGCAAACAAATAGCTTAACATTTGGACAACCAAGTGGGAGTAAAAATCCCCTCCAGTAGTAAAATTTTGCTACATATTAAAATCAGACAAGGGAACGGGATTAGATCCCAAATCATTTAAAACTATATGCTTCTCATCTTTACTAACAAAGGCACTGGAAAAGATGTTTGACAGGCATATAAGGGCACAGTTATTGGCCACAAAATCCATGACATTCCAATCACTTCATTGCTTACCAATCAGGCAAATGATTATGAGGCAATATGTAACTTGGTTCCAAGAATTGAAAGATCCATAAGACAAAGATAAATTCTGGTCAGTATCTTCATCAATAATGAAAGTGTTTTTGACAGGACTTAAGGATCATTGTCAACATTCAAGAACAAACAAGAAGCGCCCCTTATTACTTATCATTGGGATATCCACTTTTTAGGAACAAACAGAAAGAATAAATCTAAAATGAAACAATAATTCTAATTCCAAGATAAACAATTCCCATAAGGCAAATAAATTAGTTTATACAATACGTACACCACATAGTCTGCAAGGAAATTTACTTTCACATAGGTTATGAAATCAAAAACACTGAAGTCACTTCACAACACTAACTCTAAAATTTCGTTTGGATTACGAAAACATTATAAACTAAAAGAGAACATAAAGAAAGCATAATATATTTTTAAATGTGTATAGTTGTGATTAATATAGACAATTACAATTAAATTTGACGTACCTATTTATATTAACTATTTTCTTCATCTATCAAAACCAATATTTTGCGTTTCAAGGAAATGACTATTAAAATGATTTCATTAAACGATGTTATGTCTCGGATTGAATGATAAGACAAAAAATTTTAATTAATATCAACTACCAGACTACCACTACCGTCAAACTATACTTGTATTTATTAGTTTTATTGTAATAATTTTTTTTAACAAGATCGCAATGTTAAATTAATATAGTACATCCTTAAAATAACCATACGATCGGAACAGTATCTGGAAGATACATTTCTTCCACTTCCACGCTCGATTTTTACCAGTTGACAAAAAGTAGTTCTTGGACACTTTCAAGAGCCAACGCCTCGGAAATAATTAACTGATAATTTTACTAACATAGACTTTATCTTTATCACATCAAGTTTTGAAATTAAATTAAATTAAATACCAACATATTTTAAAACAAAAATGTAATTAATACACAAATATATAAATATTTGTTATTATATTTTTATATGATAAGAAATGATTTTAGCAAAAAAATTAAGATACAGACATCCATAATGTTTGATTTTAGTAGCCTGCTTCCTGTAGCCTCTCCTTAGCCATTTTGGGCTCCCACTTAGTGGTGTGTTCATCACAGTTTACAATTGTAAGTTGATATATTTTTGTACATCAATTTATATTTATTTTTAAGTATGGAAGAGGGAAGAGCCCGAGGAAGGGCTAGGGGCAGAGCTAGACAGGACCCTAAGAAAACAGAGGTGACCCATAATGTGATTGAAGCAAGAGGAGTTAGATCCAAGCCATTGCAAGCTCCTCCAACAGTAGCATCTGTGACTGGTGATATGAAACAGCTTTCAGTTACACCAAGAAGAACTGTTGGAAGAAAAATGATGGACAAACTGGACTATGTTTCTATTAGGTCGAGGCCTAAAGAACTTGTAACAAAGCAAGGATCTACAGGACAGAAAGTCAAACTACAAGCCAATTATTTTAAGCTAGAAACACATCCTGATTGGGCCTTGTACCAGTACAGAGTTGATTTTTCACCTGAAGAAGAAAGAACTGCCGTCAAAAAGGCTCTACTCAAACCCCATAAAGATATTTTTAACTGTGCATATCTGTTTGATGGTACTGTGTTGTATGTATGTAATCGTTTAAAAACTGATCCTATAGAACTTTTTTCTCTCAGGGATACAGATCGAAAGAAGATTAGAATTACCATAAAATTTGTGGGAGATGTGGTTATGGGAGATTATCAGTATCTCCAAGTTTTTAATATTATTATGCGCAAGTGCCTTGACAATCTAAAATTACAAATGGTTGGCCGAAATTTTTTTGATGCCAAAGCAAGAATTGAAATTCGTGAATATAGGATGGAGCTTTGGCCAGGTTATTTAACCTCCATTCGGCAATGTGAGGATCACATCCTCATGAATGCAGAAATAACATACAAAGTAATGCGTTGCGAGACTGTTTTTGATTTAATTGTTAAATGCAGGTCGTCTGAAGATTGGGAAAAAACCTTTGAGAATGCAATCATAGGTACCATTGTGTTAACCGATTACAATAATCGTACATATCGGATTGATGATGTTAATTTTAGTTGTACACCCATGTCAAAATTTAAAATTAAGAACGGTGAATCATCTACTTACTGTGAATACTACAAAACACGATATGGAATTAGGATTAGGGAGCCAAATCAACCTATGCTGGTTTCTAAAGCAAAACCTAGAGAAGTCCGTGCAGGTATGACGGAAATCATCTATTTGGTTCCAGAATTGTGCCGATTGACAGGATTAACTGATGACATGCGCACTAACTTCCAGCTCATGAGAGCGCTTGCTGAGCATACTAGAGTTACTCCAAAACTTAGAATTGAGAAATTGTTGAAATTTAATCATAGATTAAAAGAGAGTAAAGAAATCACTAAAGATTTGGATTCATGGAACATGAAGTTAGCAGAGTCATTGATAACATTTGACGGGCGGGTCCTTCCCATGGAAAAAATTTACTTTGGAGATAATAGGACAGTTACTGCAGGTAATGATGCAGATTGGACCCGAAGTATGCGAGATCATTCTATGCTTACTAGTGGAAATTTCAAATCCTGGTCTATTGTTTATTTAGGAAGAACAAAGAGTGAAGTAAACAGCTTTATTCACACTCTTGCAAAGGCAGCAGAGAGTTTGAACTTTCGTGTCCCTACACCAAGAATGACTGAAGTTGTAAATGACAGGTGTGGTAGTTATGTCGAAGCATTAGATTCTGTGATTTCTATGCATAATCCTCAGTTAATACTTTGTATTGTTCCTAACAGCAGAGCTGACAGGTATGCAGCTATCAAAAAGAAATGTTGTGTCGATCGAGCAGTCCCTACCCAAGTTGTAGTGGCAAAACATTTCAACTCCAAAAATCTCATGGCAATTTCCACTAAAATAGCCATTCAAATAAATTGTAAACTTGGTGGTATACCTTGGACTATCGCGAATCCACTAAAAGGGTTAATGGTGGTGGGATATGATGTTTGTCATGATGCTTCCCGAAAAGATATGTCTTATGGAGCAATGGTGGCGTCGTTGAATCCTTCCCTTTCAAGATACTACTCATCTGTGACTCCTCATTCTCATGGAGAAGAACTATCTAATGATTTAGCGATGAATATCTTCAAAGCTATTATTCGTTATAAAGAAAACAATGATGGCGGAATTCCTTCAATGATAATAATTTATCGAGATGGAGTAGGAGAAGGTCAAATACCGTTTGTTTATAATCATGAAGTAAGAATTGTAAAAGAACGACTGTCTGAAATTTATAAAGATAAACCTCCCAAGTTAGGATTTGTGATAGTTACTAAGAGACTCAATACTAGGCTATTCCTCAATGGCAGTAATGCTACCCCTGGTACAGTCGCTGATGATTGCATCACTTCCCCAGACCGCTACGATTTCTTCCTCGTATCTCAATCTGTACGTCAAGGTACTGTGAGTCCCACATCATATAATGTAATTGATGATTCAACAGGTCTAGATGCAGACAAAATGCAACGGCTCGCTTACAAAATGACTCATTTATACTACAACTGGAGTGGAACAGTGAGAGTTCCTGCTCAATGTCAATATGCACATAAATTAGCTTTTCTCGTTAGTCAATGTTTACACAGAGCCCCAAATCCTGATCTTGATGATCTATTGTATTTTCTTTAAAATTTATTTAATTAAGAATCAATATTTCCAATGTACTTGTTTTTAGCTAAGTTATTTTAAACTTTAATATTATTTATTTTATTTTTATTCCTATTTGAATGATCTAATTGAGATAAGAATTATCTTAACTAAATATTTTAGCCTTATTGGTTTTTAAAAGGAGATTGATGTTCTACAGTTCTTTTACAGTTACATATTTGAATACCATAATTTTTATTTTCGATGATGAAAAGAATTATCTTTGTTTTACAGACATTTGCAACATAACATGCAAGTACAAAACTAAATAATCTTTGTTAGTTTATAACTACATTGTTAATAGCTTTTACTTTTTTGTTTTTTATTATCATGTTTGTTTTAAATTAATTTTTGCTGTCAGTAGAAATTGAATATTCTTAATTTTTATTTGATTTAAGAAGAAATTGAATAAATCCTTATTAATTATATTTTAGTATTAATTTTTATTTAGATAGAAATAAGGATTTTCATAAAATTAATTTTTAGTAGTTTCAGCTATTTTAGTTTTTATTTGTAATTATTTTAAATTTTAATTACTTGAACTTTGATGTTTTAAAAATAAAAGATATAGAGCCAGTGTTTGTTTATTTCTTTATATTATATTACTATTAGAGATGTGACTGTCTAGGAAAAATCTGTCTCTGTTCCAGTGACAAAAGTTTTCTTTTCCATAACCTTATTTAATTTATGAATATATTGATATATTATATTTATTAACCAACAGTCCTCTTGTCCATTAATTAATTAATATTTAGTAGGGTTATAGCAAAAAAAAAAAAAAGAAGAAGACATTTCATTACTTCAAATAATTAATCCCTTTGTGGGATCAGAAAATTGTGATCATGTTTTAATAACTGTATTCGATATATATATTTATTTAAACAGATGTGTCATTTCCATGCATTTGCCATGATTTTACATAAAAATATTGAGATGAAATTCACAAGAAACATATTTGAAAATTAACCTATATCAAAAGTACACTTCATATATTTACTATAAACCACCGATATATATATATATATATATATATATATATATATATAAGTATACATAAATCATATTTATTAATACTAAAACAACAATGTGATTTGTTTTGTTGAATCTCAATATCCACAGAAAATATATATTATTAACAGTCAAGAAACTAGAAATTTTAATTAAAATTTTATTTGTGTTTGATTATTATTTATTCATTTTCGTAATCGAGTAATTCCATTACAATATTTTTTAAACAATTTGATACTTGGCAATAGAGAAAAACCCTTTTACGCAGGCAGTTGTGACTCAGACACACTTGGCCATACCTGTGATGAAACAATGCCTTCATAAATGTAGAGACGATTTAGAGAAATCGGCTATTAAATGAATAATGTCTTTGTCTATTTTAATAACATCTAAATTAAATTTTTCTCAAAGTGATAGTAAGTTAATTAAATTATTTGGAACATTAATTTTAGTTAAAATAATTTTTATAATGAATATTATATGTTCTCACTATTTAATTCACATTAATATTTTTCTCTTTTTTTATTGCTTACATTATTCAGGTTCTGTATGATATAATTTGCGTTAATTCAGGAAATATTGTCATATTTATTATCTATTTTTTAAATTAAGTTGAATAATAATAAACTCTTAAAATTTCATTGTCTGAAAATAAATCATTATATGACTACACCTTTCTTTTTGAATGCTTACAAACTATAGCAAGTAGTAGATAATAAAATTGATATAGGTGTTATACTATGACAATGATCATACCTTAGGTTTGAATCCACATCTGGATCCTTTTCATTTTTATTAGGAGTTAATCATATAGAACCCATTGCAGGGTTACCATAATGTTGGAAAAATGAAATGGAAGGGTTAATCAAAATAGATTATTTCTAGTCGTTTTATTAATATTATGGATTAAGATAAGATTGATTAACTTTAATAAATATCATAAAGAAAATTACAAATTTTGCTAATCAACACAATATATATTCTAACCACGAAACATTTTTATAACCATAAAAACATCTGAACACATTATTTTATTTTCATATGATATCCATTGTTTATCAAATTAAATTAAATCATATGGTTTGTCCTGCTCTTACATCACTGTTACATTATCATAAGTTTACTCTAAGAAGTCATCAGAAACTAATCATTAAATAATTTGATGAACCTCCCCTTAAACTAATACACTTTTGACATATAATAGGATTAATGTTAATATGATGTGATTCAAAAATATTTCTCAGAATTTAATGCATTTGTGGACCAGATTGATTTTTCTGAACTTAATAATTAAACAGCTGTTGTTAAATCATTTCTTAATTATACTACACTGTAAATATTGTTACTTTATTCTTAACTTCTTTCCAATATCTTTTATCAATCGTTTGTTCGTTTCTATTGTAAAAATTATATTTATATTGTTTATATTTTAAATGCATTATGTTCCATGAACTAGTTATATATTTTAATACTTGTTATGTCGATAAGACGATACACATAGAAATATATTCAGTTATTATAGGGTTACTATAATGTGGAAAAAGTGAAAGTACATGAAAACTGTAGTTGACTTTTTGCAGCAAATTGATGATCTATCTGTTCCATGAATAGCTAAAACTGAAAAACTACCAATCGGACATTTTCCTAGTCGATAGCGCTTACCTATTATGTTTTTAAAAATTTAATCTTGCATTTTGATTATTAAATTGTGATTCGAATTTTTCATATATACAATTGCAACTTTATTTAGCATTTATTGATCAAAAAAAAAGTATTACAGAGTACAGACAGCAGAGATATGGAAATTCTGATGTATTTCTTGAAAAAAAAAAAACTATTCTACGATACAATATAGGCAATCTGAGGGAAGAAACAATTGCCAATGACCCTATCGGGTAGAGGCAAATTGAATAAATAAAATAGGTATTTAACTGTAAATTAAAATAATTGTGTGTTTTTAATTATTATTAAGGAATAATACAACATTAAAAATAATGAATTATTATCTTTATAGTGTTACTCCTTAATCACAGTTTGACCAGTATACTTATAATAGCTAAATTAACAGTTTTAAGTATTGGAACTAAGAGTGAATTTTTTTCAAAGAGAAATAAATTTCAAGCAAAAAAGTATTTAAAATTAAGAATTTTTGCCTTGGGACCATTTGAGAAAGAATGTTAGTTAAGAATAATACACCAGAGATAATGGAAGAAGGAAGATAAAGTGGTATAGGCCTGTGAAAAGGATGAATAGAGAACGACCCCAAACAGCATTTGTGTGGGAGGCCGAGGGTAGGAGGAGGAGTGTATGGAGAGACGGTGAGAGAAACTTCAATTTATGAAGAAAACACTCTTAAATAAGAAAAGAAAAAAATGTTGCCTTGTGATATTCTAGTTACAAATGAACAATATCAGAATAATTTGTTGAAATATGAGCTGTAGAAATGCAAGTAATTCGTATTTTATGTTATAATCAGTCATTGTTTCATTCTTTTTCTGTTCATAATACTATTGGTAGAAGAAACATTTGTGAATTTCATTACTTATCTTCAAATAAGTTGGTAACATAGCAACACAATCGATCGATTTACTGATTAAAATGTATTCTTAGATAAACTTAGAAATGTTAAAATGTTATTTACTGGAGGATTTATAAGTGCCTGGGTGTTGGAGCTACTGGAATAAATATAATGCTATAAACCAAACCTAGCTTTTCTCCTTAATATACAGTTGAACCTCAATTAACCAACAGTAAAATTGAAAAAAAATTAATTAATATTTTCACAGTTCACTAATTTAGGCTACCATCAGGACTAAATTATTTAAACAAACAGATTACTAACATATAAAAGATGAAGGTGTTTCTGTTACAGCCAATTTTAGACTATGGATTGGGTAACAAACAGGAAATATCTTGTATAGAGTGAAATTTAAACAAAAAAAAAATTGGATTATGTATCTTCAGATCTTAAATATTCTTAATAGCATTTGGAATTTTTGAAAACATTAAGTTAAGTCAGGCAATAACATAAAATAGAGTAATTGAACAGAAGTATGGTTGGGGTGATCAGTCAAAATATATAAATAATATTTATTTTTTTACATTTGCCGAAGTTCAGGGCTGAGAAAAGAGATGAAGGTCAAAAAATCGACAAATGTATAAATACATATCTATTTTGGCTATTTTTTATTTTGATAGAACACTCCAACCATCAACCCACAATTATAAATTAGAATAATCGTTTATTCTGATATTGTTTATATTCTAAGAAGGATCTATGGATTCATTGTCAACTTTAGGGCATTAATCCCTAAATCGTGATACAATGTTTCTGAATGATTTTCAATTAACTGTTCTTTTCTATCCTGATGATGCCTGAATTGGCGAAACGTTGATGGGTTTTTTCTTTGCCTGCATTTTGGAGACATGAGGCTGTGTGGTTTGAAATTTTTCCAATAATAATCTAACATTTTTATTGTAAGTTATAATTAAGGCCTGGATTTATTTATAACAAAAACCATTGAAATACAGCTTAAACAATTACAAAAAGTATGTATACATGCAACAAAATAGTGAAAGAAGTTAACAAAGAGAAAGTATTAAGCCATGAACACCTTAAAAAATAACACTATTTTGTATACAGTATTGTAATCAATGTAAAAATAACTGTTTTTAGTTAATATATTAAAGCTAAGAGAGGTCTATTTCAGAGGGAGTAATAATATCTATTCTGATTCTTTAATCACATAAAGTCTTCGCATTATGCCTGTTATTTATGCTGAGTCAAACAAACCGTTAAGTTTTATTTTTTTAGATTCCAGGACTAAAAGAGATATAAATGTGGCAGTTATAAGATTGATGTAACAGAAAAAGCTTCTTTGTCAATTTCAACATCTGACTTAAGACTTACTCTTCATGATATGATATAAGTATGGAACAAATTAAAATATAAATGAGTTGAAAAGGGTAATTATTTCTGATTCTATCATGAAGTAATAACATTGGCATGATTCCACATTGAATACATATAAATCATCCATCAACGTTCGTTGATTAGAATACTTTGACCGATCTTTGAACTGTACTTATAAATTGTTAAATGTTGGTTATAGGCAGTTAATAGAAACTTGTATTCTTAACCATTCCATTCCAAGAAGCTCCAAAGTTCATGGGCCAATGATTATTCATATCTGTATTTCTTAGTATTTTTGTTTTGATTTTTAATTTATTTATTGAGAAATATTATAATATGTCTCAGTTAAGGACACTTTTCTTAGTATTAAACTTTTATTTGTTAACACACCATCTTCTTTGTTTCTCTCTAGAACAACTGATTTAATTGCAAATGAAAATTTGCAGCCATTTTGCCAAAGTTGCAAGAGATTCAATAATTTTTATAAAATAAGTTTTAAAATGCTTAATGGGCTTCCAACATTTGTTTGTAAGTACTTAATCGTAAACAGTGAATGATTTTTATTTATGAGTATACGATCACTCCTAAGCTTATTTATATCTAGCAGGGATGAAATAGTTAACACAAAGTTTTTTCATAAAAGATCTAACTGGATCCAGAGGATTTAATAAATTAATTGGTTTTCCAGAAAATCTGAATAATCTTACTTTACTTACTTATTATTATTATTATTATATTATTATTTACCAAATAATCTGTAATTATTTTCCTTTTTGTTTTTAATTTTATGGTAATGAGAAATGTAATTTTTTTAACTTGTTTATTGAAAAATATTGCAATCTGCCTCACAGGGCGTTTATAATAGTGTTCAGAGATCACATTCACACTCAATGTACAATAAATAAAAATAAACTATACAGAAAAATAATATGTATATTACATAAATAAAATAACCTAAAAATAAATAAATAAAAAAGAACACATATACCTATATACACTACAATCAGGTGAGAGAACTCTGAGCCAGACTTGTCCCTCCAACTGTGGAGCGAAAAGTATGACTCCAGGAGATCCCTGCACTACACTCTTGACCGTATCACTGGGGCTAAACCCAGTAGAGATTTAACAAGAGTGCTTTATCCACATACACTCACGTCTTGAGTGGAGAATCTGGCCATTGCCAGAACTCCAATGTTTACAAACTATAAAAGGTCGTGGATGCGTTTGATGTTAGATTCATTTACTTTGGATTTACACCAGTACTCAATCAGGGAGAGATGTCTTTGCAGATTTAAAGATGCTATTTCACAGAGAACTCGAAAGGTGCGATCAGAGAGGTAGATGAGGATTAGGTACAAGGACTGGGATAGATGGGTTTTCAGCTTGGAATGAAGCCCGGCGTGCCATACTCGGTCAAAAGCTTTCCAGAAATGCACCTGAGCAATATTGCTTGTTTTTCAGGGCTGCTGAAATACGATCGACCACTCGAAGTTCTTGGATTGGAATGTTGTGAAGGAAGATTTTGAGATTCTATAAAGGGTAGGATTCATTTCAGGAGGATATTTTCAAGGATTTTTGAAAGGGTTGGAAGTAGGCTAATGGGTCTGTAGGAAGTTAAGCTGTTGGGAACTTTGCCTGGTTTTGGAAATAGGATAATAGTAGAATGTTTCCATAAAAGAAGAAAGAAGGTGTTTTGTATCATAGGATGCTATTGTATATGTATGTAAGGAATATGACAGCTTTAGCAGTGAGTTATTAAAGGATCTGAGAGCTAAGTAGGTCGTATCCAGGTGATTTGCGGGTAGGTAGTTTTTGTAAGTGATATTTGACCTCAGAAGGATTAACTGCTTTAGGCGGTAAGGAGAGTGGGATGGGTGACTAAAGGAATTCCTCTACTGCTGATATGTGGGTGGGGTTGGATTCCGGATGAGAGGCGAATGTAAGAAAAAGGTGTATGGCGAATTCTTCAGCTTTATCTTCGTCAGACGCAGCCCATGAGCTATTACCACGACAGAGAGGATGTGAAATATTATGTGGTTTTAGGGTTTTTTTAGTGATCTTCCATAGAGAATTGTCGTGAGCAGAGGAGGAAGTAAGGTAGGAGTTAAAGGATTGGGATCTGAAGGTGACCAATTCCTGCTTTAATTTTTTTCAGAAATAATTATAGGATTGTCCATCGGTGGCGTGTCTAGTATGTTGCCATAATAATCTGGCACGGTGTTTGGTGTGGATTAGATCTATGAAGTGTTGAGGTAACTTATTTTTCTTGGGGCGGGGGGAATGTAATTAATGTAAATGTAATTGTAATTTTTTTTTTTTTTTTTCGGTTGAAGCCAGCTAAGGACCACAGGTATATCATTATTTCTTGGTGTTTACCTTTCAGCCCAAACTTTTATAATTTTTTCACTTGTTTACTTTCTCCTGTTTTCTATTCTAATAAACTCCATCTTATTCACTGTTTCTCTGAATTTATCCCTATCTAGGTATTCATCTTCTTTTAATTTTAATTTCAATTTATTTAAATTTCATGATAATTAATGAATATAGACAGGGGTGGTCTAGTCACCTCAAATTCATAAGGTAATTGAACAACCAATCAGAAAAAAATTAACACACACATATATTGTATTAATTCATCTTTGTTATTCTAAGGGGACTTAGTCCCAGAATAAAGTTCAATTTTCTATTCTGTTCTATTCTATATATTAGAAAAAACTAGTGTGGTGCGCGCATCACACAACTTTCACTTCCACCCTCTTCTTAGCAGAAATAAGTATTTTCAGAAAAAGGAGAAGTGAAAGTAAAAATTATAGACGCTATAATTATTTATGTTTCATTGTGGGTATTTTTATTTGTATAAGTATCCTTATATATACAAATTTAAATATTTATATCGGTGTAATCGATACAATTAAATTTTAAATAATACCAACGATAGCATTTATGAAAACCGCATATTTATATTTGTATAACATTGTTGGAGTCCCTATTATATTAAGCTCATGTTACATATGAAAGGATGTTAAAATCTTTTGGGCGAGCTCGGGTGCAGTCAATTACAACTATTCTCCGATACGATTTTTTATTTCTCCTTCAGCTAATTATCAAATTCTTTCATATTTTATATTTAACCATCTTTTATATTAGAGATTAATGTGAAATAGTCAATTGTTTCAATTTTTCTGCCATGAGCCGGGATTCGAACCTGGTACCTTGAACATTGGAAGCTTAGTGCCACTGAGCTACTCCGCTCCCTATACATTTGCTTACTATGTTTTTTACAGACCTGGTGTATTTTATTCATAACTTTGATTACAATACAACCAAAATTGTCTCCAATATTAATCATTAGTTGAGAATATTTTATTTAATTAACAAAAATCGAACTTCATTGGTCCCTTTTAATAACAGCCTTATGAGTTTATCAATGTACTATAAACCAAGCATGTATTCATAAAAAACTAATATTTACCAACGAAAAAATATTATTCACTTTTCAATAGAGTAAAACTTGTTTGTTATTAATTTACCGGTAATGCACAGAAAATGGGATTTTTTGTTAATATGGAGTCATCTTTATTTCCTTCTTTACCACAATATAGTCGCAAAAGGCCGCTTTTAGAGTCTCAACAAAATGTGCAATATTTTATAAGGGACCTGGAGTCCTCTTTCTCCTAATATTCTCACCTCTAATAATAAAAATACCTAGGAATAAATTAAATGCAGGAGGGTCTTCATCACGGTCACCCACCTCTTATTCTGGCTTCTACCATTATCATAGTTGTGAGGTTGCTGTCAGTATATTATTTATGGTTCTAGTAAGAAGTGAAGATAGAAAAGCGAGGTAATAAATACAAATGGAATCAACATAATGGAGATGAACAGGTTGAAAAAATTGTAAACAAAATTAATTTCCAAAAACAAATAGTAAAGGACAAATATACAGAATTTATAATAAATTATTGCTTTTGACTTGATATTAGTTTATATATTTTAATTTTTTAGAACTAATTTATTAATTAATTTATTACATTTTTTCCCTAATGCTTAAGGTGTTTCAGGATAATTGGTCATGATTATACAACATGAACTCATTACTTTCAATAAAAATTTTATGGCAAGTAACCATTTACGGTATTTTTTAATATATATTATATGTGTGTGTATTAATTTTTTTCTGATTGGTTGTTCAATTCCCTTATGAATTTGAGGTGACTAGACCACCGCTGTCTATATTCATTATCATGAAATTTAAATAAATTGAAATTAAAAGATGAATATCTAGATAGGGATAAATTCAGTGAAACTTTATTTTACTAATTACAAACTGAATTTAATTAAACTTCAGGTATTTTATTTTGTATAATCAGGTATTTTATTAAGAAAATTATCCTTACGTCCAAAAATTGTTTGGCATGAATATTTATGTTTATTTTAAGACTGTTGAATTCTTGGAAGCACACACCTCAACAATAGCTCTTTTGTATATGTTTTGAATCAATGAGTATCTCACATGATTACTTTTTTTAACAAATGATTTATTGCAACTTTGGCAGTAAAATTTTGAGCCTTCCATGGTAATAAAAAAATAAAGGCAATAGTTGAAAATAAAAAAAAAAAAAAATGAAAGTAAACAATATGTTAAAAGTAAAATTAAAGTAGAAATTTCAAACACAAGAGCTTACAGAAAACAAGGTCAATTATAGTTCGTTGAACTGAGAAGGGGAGGGGAGACCAAGTGTTGACAGTATAAGCCATCCAGACTCAATGTTGGCTCCTCCTCAAAAATATTTTGCTCCCTAGACACTAGTGTCTGCAGTCTGCTAACTGGGACATCTTCTTCACAAGTTTCCATAGAGGGAAAAGGATAGCTAGAATATCTCAACCTGAAGCAGGAGTTGTAGATGATGGTCAAGTGACCTTGGTAGTTGTTTCCTTTCGAATGATGGAATATGGCCTTTATTTGCTTTGAGAATACATAAATGTAATGGACCCCAACATCTTCCATTGGAAGTTCAGTTAAGACCCAGTTCGTCTTGTTATGTTATCATATTAGTCTGCAAATTTAGCCGCCTATTCTTCTGACATTAAGTTTGTCTTTGTCATGAAGTACCGTAGAGCTTCTTTTCCTGGTGCTGTTCTTCAGAAGCATCCAAAATTTCTTGTAATCTCCATGGGTGGACCTTAACTATTCATGTGAGATACAAAAAAAACCTGCAAGGATCTCATGTATGATAAGTATATCATTAGATCGGAGAGGGAATGACTGAATCAATAAAATGAATAAAATTTGAAGAAATTTGTTTTTGTATTGTCACTAAATATGGATTACATATTCAGGTAAAATTATAAGAGGTATAAGATAATAATCTATTTTCACAAACAACTTTTTTTCTCTCAAGGAATCGTGAGTATTTTAAATAAGCTCTGGCTTATATATAAACAACTAAAGAGATAAAAATTACTTAATTATAGAACTATCTAACTAATTTTTGAATAGTTAACAAGAAAAATAGAATATTCTTGAATACAATATTTTAAAATAAGTTTCAATAAACATTTTTGTCAGTAAAACAGTCTAATTCACATCAAATAACAAAAATTCTAGCACCAATCGGGCGTACAAGGAAGTTTTGAAGAATTTATTAGGAAGTGTTTGCACTAGTATTAAATTGTATTGGTGGACCATAACCTAACCACTCATGTTTAAGTGTCATTGAAGAGCAAACTTCTTTTTTTTTTTTTTTTTAGAATTAGAGTGCTACCAATGGGTAGTTTCTCAACAAGCGTTTTCATGTGATTGTATTATTACTGTGTGAACATTTACTAGTTGTATTTGTTTATAATACAGTTGTAAATATCAATGAATAAAAAAAAAATTTTTAGAAACTTGTTTTTTTTTTTAATGCAATAAAGTAAATCACTGAGATGCTTATTTTTCTGCTTCGATTCGAAGAAAAAATGAAGTTATTGGGGACCATATTGCATTAATGTGAAATAATAACAATTGAATTACACAGCACAAAAGTGGTGAAACATTTGAAGAAGAAGAATGTTTGGGAACAGTGGTTTCAAAGTCATGGATATGGTACATTAGCAAGAAAATTGAGCACCGCAAATATGAGATATTGAAACATTTTTCATTCATATTTTTTAGTCAAAAACTACTTGGAAATATTCAAAATGGATATCCTACCCTAGCTGCTGTAACTGCAGGCATTGCTTCTTCAAATTACTACTTATTTATATTAATGATGTATGATGCCTGTATGAGCAGCCTTACAAGAAATGCAAAAATATGAGTCGATTTTTGAAATGTCTCTGAAGATCATTTGTTTTATCAAACGATATTCGTCTACTCTAATAAAGATGGGGAAAAGCATTAATTTTCACAAATATCCTTTAAAACTTACTTGTACCCCTAATATTACCCTTGTAAATACTAACTTAGTTCCGTAAGAATTACAAAACTGACTAAAATGTGAATCAAGTAATAGATAAAAAATATCAACTTTTTTTCATGAAGTCACAGTTAGTTAATATATTTAATTAACCTAATCTTTTAAATAAATATTTACTTTAAGCGTAGACACTGAAAACTATATCACAGAGTATCTATTGAATCTTAAACCAGCCTATCACTTTGCACGCTGGGGGCCTTAATTCAAGCTCACATTATTTTTAATCACAATTTAATTGAATAATCCTGAATGTAAATTCATATCACAAAAAACAGGTATCTTAAATTATAACGCATAAGAAATGGACATAATAAAACTACTATAGATTGGAGTTGATCCATCTACCACCATCACTTCTTCAAATAAGAACTTTGTACCTTTGCTGGATGCATCATTAAATGTACAAATCGGGTACTGACCCCCGATAAAACTTATACTAATAGTATACTTGACATTGGGTTCGAACCAGAACGGTCTTATGAGATTGACACATTGTGAGCTATTAAAGTGAACATTCCTATCATATTCTGTTTTCTGAAGCATTTTTCCATCTGGATCTTTAATGAGAACGACGAGACGTTCCCTGTAGGAAGAGTTGGGAGCAGGAGTTCTGACGTAATCATTTATCTGTGCAAGGCGTGTAAAGACTTCAAATCCAATGACCAGAACCCTAGAGGAAGATTGGATTGTAGTGACAACCTCACCTCTATTTATCCACATTTTGCTCCTGCTAGATAAAAGCTCTCTAGTTGATCGCCAAACAACAGGTATTACTTGCTTTCTCGGCGTTGTAAAGCTGCAGAAACCGTGAGGCACTTGGCGGTCTTTAAATGCTAGTAATTCTTGCTCTGTTAAGACATCTTCCAAGGAGAGAAGTTCTTCAGGAGGTAATGCTAGAAATCGTATCCTATAAAGGGCACCTGTGTCTTCTAATAACCTTCTTCTGGCTTGAGTTGTGTCCTGTAAACCTCTGTTGGTTAGTTCTTTCTTTGCCCAGTCGAGTACCATTGATAAAACTTCTCCTTCCGTCATATTCATGTGATCCTCTTCCAGTAAGCGACAGAGAGTACCAACACTCAAGCTGTCGTTTTCACTGTTCCATATTTCATAATGATAGCGACTCATAATCTGAAATAATGCAAGTACATATATATTAGTTAATATAGATAGATATTAGTTAATTCAGATATATTAGTTAACTAAAATATCAGAAATAAAATCAGCTGCATAAGTTATAACATATTAAAGAAATTTGTTATAATATGATTGTTAAAATCTAGTTATTGCAAATCAAAACTCCATTAAAGACATATTATATTATAATATAAATAAAATGCATAATATAACACATTATTATATATTCGTTTTAAGATTTGAATTATGTAAACTACTAATTAACAAATTAGTAGATATACATTTGCCATACATGTAGGCAATACATTTGCCATAAATAAACTATATGTAGAGAAGGAGGAGACTTACGTTGTTAAATGTAAAACACATATTCTTTTTACTTATTTAATCAGACCTTTTAGAAGTTCAGAGTTACCCTTTGTAGGTATACATTTCTATTAATATTCCTTCTCAGATCCATTGCCACCTTTCCTACTTTAGTCCTAAAAGATTATCCCATCACTTTCAGCTCCTTTCTTAACTGGAGTATTACCACTGAACGAAACTATTTCTGGAAACTCCATATCGCTCATATCTCCGGAAGGTGAGTCAATAGACACACTTAATTTATTTCATCATTCTTACTTCTTCCACAAACACAAGCTCCTTTTTTCCTAACCAATTTTCTACCATTTTGACTGAGGCTGTGAGGTTTACAGCCCCTCAATTGCATTTAAGGGCAGATTGAGGCAAATCATGAAATATGCTTTAATTTGTCTTCGATATCTCGAGGAGGTATCATGTCTCCCACCTTTAGTGCGGAAGTGGCTCTTCCCCTCCTGTCGACAATATTTCCTCAGATCTTTCACATACGAGACTATTAACTCCCAGTATACTTCTTACATCTACAGTCACCTCCAATTCAAATCTTCAATGCATTCACAGACAGATCCATCCATTCACAGAAAACAAGATGCCACATTTTTGACGAATTTTACCCCTCCGCACAGAACTAAAATCTTTTAAAGTTCCTTTATTGCCAGCTCCACAGCTTTTTGGAATTCCTTAATATCTGACATACACTATGCCTTTGTCCTATTATCATTTAAATCTCTCTCTTTCCATAACCTTCTCTTACCCTAAATAGATGTTCTCTAATCTTGAAATTTTAATAAAGGATAAAATATTAAATAGAATCATAGATGGGCATAATCATAATCAACGATTATGATTACGATTACGATTATAATCAAAAAGATCACAATTATTTGATTACATGATTGTAATCGTAATCACGGTTTTTTATTTTGATTATAATCACGTAATCGTAATTATGTAATTATAATCATTGTAATCAAAATCACTGTAATCGTAATCGTGTAATCATAATCGCGTAATCGTAATCAAAAAATCAAATACACACAATTTTCCTGTTTTTAGAGATGGGCTTAAAGGAAAACAAGAATAAAACATTTTCTATTTTCTTTAGCTGCCGGGAGTACCTTCTTTGTTAATAACGTCGGTTAACATTTAATATTTTCTGGATTTCCATTCACTTTTCTTCTGTTATCATGTGAATCGATGCTCGGTTTTTCACCGTTCCAACACTTTTCCGGCTATATATGTAGACGAAAATGGAGAATTGGTGTAGAAATTTTTCTGAATTTCCACTCGTTTTTCCTCTTTTATCTCGTCTATGCATGCTAGGTTTTTCTCCACTCCAACAGTTTGCCGACTATGTAGATGTAGGCGAAAATAGAGAATGAATGCAGACAATTTTCCGGATTTCTATTTGCTTTTCCTCTTTTATCTCGTGAATGGAGTCTCAGTTTTTCACCGTTCTAACCATTTTATAACTGTTTAGAGGAAAGCTAATGGAAGCGGGAGTGGTACAAATTTGCCAAATTTTCATTTACTTTTCTTCCTTTTTTATCTCGAAAATGAAGGATCAGGTTTTTCACCGTTCCAGCAGTTTCCCGGCTATGTGGTGGTAGGCAAAAACGGAGAAATGGTGAAAAAAATTTTCCGAATTTCCATTCGCTTTTCCCACTTTATCTCGTGAATGGATGCTCGGTTTTTCACTAACACATTTCCGACTATATAGATGTAGAAAAAAACGGAGAAATGGTGTAGAAAATTTTCCGAATTTCCATTCGCTTTTCCTCTTTTATCTAAATCTTTTATCTTAGAAAAAGTGAATGAAAATTGGAAAATTTTCTTCAAAATGTCCCCATTTTCCTTTACCTCTACAAAGCCAGAAAACTGTTGGAACGGTGAAAAACTGATCCTTCATTTCCAAGAAAAAATAGGAAAAGTTAATGAAAATTTGTACCACTCCTGTTTCCATTGGCCTTCCTCTAAACAGCTATAAAATGGTTGGAACGGTGAAAAACCGAGACTCTATTCACGAGATAAAAGCGGAAAAGCGAATGAAAATTCAAAAAAAATTTCTACACTAATTCTCCATATTCGCCTACATCAATATAGCCGGAAAAGTGTTGGAACGGTGAAAAAACGAGCATCCATTTACGAGTTTAAAGGGGAAAAGCGAATGAAAATTCGGAAAAATTTTCTACAACTAATTCATCCATATTCGCTCTACATCAATGATAGCCGGAAAAGTGTAGGAACGGTGAAAAACCGAGCATCCATTTATGAGTTTAAAGAGGAAAAGCGAATGAAAATTCGGAAAATTTTCTACACCCTATTCCCATTTCCACTTTTCTCTACATAGCCGAAAAGTGTTGGAACGGTAAACACCTGACTCTTCATTCATGAGATAAAAGATGAAAAGGGAATGAAAATTAGGAAAATGTTAATCGGTAAACCGACGGTATTATCACAGAAAGTGTTCCCTGAAATTAAAAGAAAATAGAAAATGTTTTATACTAGTTTTTCTTTTAGTCTATTTCTAAACAGAGGAGAATCGTGTGTATTTGATTTTTTGATTACGATTACGCGATTATGATTACGTGATTACGATTACAGTGATTTTGATTACGCGATTATGAATACAGTGAATTTGATTACATGATTACGATTACATTGATTTTGATTACGTGATTACACGATTATAATCGTAATCAGGTTTATGATTACGATTGTAATCATGTAATCAGGTAATCGTTTCATACTTTTGCTATAATTATAGTGCTACTGTATCAAGTATAAAATTGGCGTGGTCATAAAGTTTTATTTTCAGTTGTAATCATGTAATCATTGATTACGATTTTGCCCATCTATGAATAGAATTGAATAATATTTACAATACATGTAATTTTTCAACTTTAATATTAATTCATATTGTTCATTTATTTAAAATTACTTAATTTTATCTGTATATTTTATTTCGTTTACATTTATTCTAGAGTTGAATTTATTCTGCTGCTTAAATAAGTTAACTATTTTTAATGTATATAGTGATTGAACTTTGGTAATGTAGTTTTGTAGCCATTATTGCATTCTATTTATTTGCACAAAATTGTATTCTTAACGGATCTAGTCCTAGAATTAGGTATATTTTATATTCTATTCTAAAAAATATTATATTAACATTATATATATATATATATATTATATATTGAGGTCGGACCAGGGATGTACTAAGATAGTGGAACTAAGACAATTAAAATGCATATTTGTAATGTTTTGATTTTAATTAGAAAATTACCTTGATACAAGATGCGAAAAGTTCTTCTTCATTGAGAACCTCAGCAATATAAAGGATGTCCCATAGGGTTCTGATTAAAGTGTGTTGAACCAGATAGTAGAGGCACGTCATTGTGAGCGGCTGCACCATGTACTTCTTGGCAACGTAAAGCAGCTCACCAGCCTCTTCAATACTCTGAAGGTTTACCTCGTCAGAATATACATAACTAAAACAAAAAGTAAAACCTAATTAATTTTTAATATATATATTAATACTGTTGATCACTTCAATTTTATTTGTAATAATAAAAAACAACTTTGATCCTCAGTTCTATTTTATTTTTTTATCTTTACATTCAACATTTCAGCCCTTAGGCCATTTTCATGAGAAGCAACCTAACTTTAATATTAAAAAAATCTGGTCATGTTGGCCTATTATAAAATTTTTAAATTTCATTTTTAACTGATCTAAAGCTTAAAGGGTACAGCTAACAAATCATATATACTATTAAAATAACAAAAATCCTATTTATTATATCACTGGTTGATTATGGATTGTACGACTATTAGTTATTAAACTGTTATTTTCCATTGCTAAGTTTACTAAAATGGAATTAAGAGATTTGCATTGTCTGTCATAGACAGGTCAAATGTAGTCACACTAATTGTAAGTGGATGCTGATGGAGTATCACTAAGTGAAAATTCATCAAATTATTCGCTAATTTAATTTTCTAAAAGGTTACATGATGATTTTTCGGAATAAACGGACGATAGGTACCGAATTATTTAAATACAATATCTGATCTAGAGTTATTAAACTACAGTAAATATATTCAAGGTTATAAACATATCCATGAAATATTTTTATATTTCACTTCTTCTTTCACACAAGTACAATGAAATAGAGCTTAACCAATGTCATTGCCTCCGGGGATTTTAAATACTTTTTTTCAAACTTAATAAAAAAATTAAAAGTTTACGTTTAATAAGAAAATTTTATTTAATTTCCTTGACAACATGTGATTTATGTTAAATAATGTTAGTTTTTAAAAATTATTATTTATATTTCTATGTTAGATATTGTTTTGTTATTTTAATTCTCCGCTTTCCAACAATATATTATACCTATACTAATGGCAATTATTTCCGGATGTTCATTTTCGACCTGGATAAGCACTTTTCTTGTTTTTTCCTTTATTTAATTATCAAATTCTTTCAAAAGTTTTTTTCATAACTCTTAACAACCAGAAATAGTTAATTATTTATAATAAACCAAATTAAAGGCACTTTAGAGAAAGTCATGATAATTTTGGGATTTCAAAAAGGAAAAATTCATCAAATTATTCACTAATTTAATTTTCTAAAAAGTTATATGACGATTTTTCGGACATGAAATTCTGGCCATAAGACCGAATACATAATAAAAAACTAAAATAAATAGTCTAGTATGTACAATGTTATCAAAAAATATTTAAAAAGTAGGTGAAAGGTGTATCAATAAAATATTCTTTACCAAAATAAAATAATACAGTAAAAGAAAATTAAATTAATCATATAAACAATCTTAACCATTAAAAAAAATAATTACCTCTGTTTATAGATTGAAACAAATACATTGAAGAGTATATTCTAAATTAATGACAGCAACTTAGATAAATAAAGTAAAAACTACTGTTTCTTAGTTAACGGTTGTGCAAGGAGGTGATTTGACTGAGATCATGATCAATTGTCAGATTTTCCCTTTTCATAAATTTTTTAACTATAGGTACCCACTTTATAGAGAGTGGGTGTGCCACTAGAGAGGTCTCCTGATTCCATCCAGGATCGATGAAACAGAATAAATTATTTATCTGCCATGAGCTGGGATTTGAACCCAGGACCTTGAATATTGGAAGATCAGTGTCCTACCACTGAGTTACCCCACTTTAAATAAAGTAAAATGGTAAAGAAAAAAAGTCTCACGATACACCTGAAAGAAATTATACATGCTAGGGCTCTTTGTAAAGTAATATGAAACATATATTCATATTACTTATAAAAAAAAATGTATGAAGAGAAATTAATCCTTGTTTTTACATAATTAGCCAGCATCAGATTAATTTGTGAAAATGAATTGAAGCATGAGAGTAAATTAGAGTATTTGCGCCAGCATAAAATAGTCAACAAATTTTATATAACATAATTTTCATTGACTAAGTTACTTTCGTTAATTGGTGTCAAAATAAGGAAAGTAATTAAATTATATCTTAGATTATAAATAGTCAGAATTTTTACTAAATCTAAAAAATTTTCAATGAAAATTCATCTTTGAATAAATTATATCTTATTTAAAAATTTTCGGAAGTAAAATACCAAAAATTGTATACTATACATTTTCTCAAAGCGACAATGTATTCATCACACATAGTTAAAGGAAAATAGTAATATGTTAATATTTTATAAATGTATCTCTATTATTAAAACCACAACATAAAAAAAAAAAACTCAGTCATGTTGTCTGGGGAGACCTTCAGTTACTGGCAGTGATAATAAACTAAATTTCAATTCAAAAAATTTATAATTATCTATTTCTACATAAGCATTGCATTACTGATACTTACGATAAGAATAAATGGAAGGTATGAGGTTCTATGTCAGGTACAGTAATCACCTGGTTTTTCTCATCAGCTAATGGGCCATAGAATAAAGCTTCAAAAACTGGCGATGTTACGGCCAAGATAAGTTTGTGCCCATGTATCACCTATAACATTAATATTCATTGAGAAAAAATAAAGCTAAGGATCACAATAAGGGAACTCTTATGCTCATTTCATGTTAAAGAAACTTCGTAAAAAAGATAGAATAAAATAGAAAAAGAACTACTCCGCGATAAAGTCCCCTTAAGAATAGCAAAGAAGTAAAGAAAAAAAGCTATGATGTTAAGTGCCACTTCCAGCTAGTTGATTTTGGCGAAAAAGTTGTTGCAACACCATGAGAAGATATCATTAAAGATGTAATTTCAGTTTTGTATGATTTTTCATTTTTGAGTTAGGCTGTTAACAGGTACATACAGAGAGATCATTTTGTAAAACTGATTTTTTTTTTTAATCAGGTGATCTCAATAAGTGTATTTCCATAGAAAACTTGAATTAGAAATTTTTCACAATTGCAATCATTTTTCTTACAAGGCATATATTGACAAAAGATAAAAAAAATATGAGAACCATGGAGACTTACATTATCATTGGGGAGGAATTTCCATGGTGGCTGAATAAAGAGAACTTAACTTCTCAAGGTTTAAGAAATTTACTTATGGACGGACGGACGATGATGTACAGTGGACTCTTTTAACAATCAATTGGAACAAAAGTCAAAAATAGACATTTTTATGAAAAGTAACGAAGTTGCAAAACATGAATATACTTCAAATAAATAGCATGAAAAGTATGTTCTAAAATAATCAAAATTAAAACGCAAATAAAATAAATAAATGAAGTACCAGAAAATACAAGAAATTACTGTCAAATTACAATACTAATGTATGAAAAGTGATAAAAAACATTTATACTAAATTAATAGATATTTTAAATGGACTTAGAATATTAAAAAAGAATGGACAAGTGTGGGCATTCATTTTTTGGCACTTTTTTCATCAGATTAAATGTCTGTTTTGGAGTTAAATTTGTAAGCATGAAAATGACAATGAACAATAGCTTACTTCAGTGACTATAAAATTTTTGCACTTAGATCATTTAGTCCCCCCACACCTCAATCGCTGTCAAATTACATTTTATTATAAAATATGATACTTCTGAAATGAAACACAATCGTCCAAGAATGTTTACAACAATTATAAAAAAATATATAAGGAGAAAAGTTCAACTAAATCCTGAAAATGGTAATTTTGGAGGAAGTCTATTATGGTCTATTCTTAAATTACATTTATCCATCTAGAAATGAAAAATTAAAAAAATACACCTACATTTTTTTAAATGATTCGTTAACTACTCAAACAAAGAAAACAGTTATAATAAATTCCTAAAAGCAAATATAAGAAAATATAAATTGAAAAAAATAGTTAAAATCAACATATATGAAAATAAAAATAAAAATATTAATTAATGAAAGCTTAAAAAATATATATATATATATATATATATATATATAGCATCTATTAAAACCATTCAATCAATAAGAGTATATTTTTCACACACAATTAATAAAAAAGATAATAATATACTATTAAGGATTAAAATAAGTATTTCAGAATAGCAAAAACTGTGATTTTTAAATGATAAAAAATATTTCTTCAAAGAAGGTCTATAATAATTTGAAGAAGCTAATAATAATTAAAAATATATGCTTTAAAATATTAATTGAATTTTAATAAAACCTTACAGTCTTTCATTACATGACTGGAGTAATTAATTCATTAAATACCATTACTCTAAAAACTAACTGATTTGTTCTAAGCAATACCCTTGGTAGGTTTTCAAACTCATAATGTTATGACTAGTGTAGTAAGCACTGACTATGCAATTTTTAAATCGTCTACAAAATTACTAAAACAATCATAAAATTACTTCGTTTTTTTTTTCTCAATCATAGGAATACTGTTTTCAATATTATTAAAATTATTTAATATCCATAGAAACATTGAACACAGTATTTCTTAGTTAATAATAATAATTAAAACTAAATTATTCATCATTATATAATAATAGAACAAACCTCAATTTTTTCAGTCCCAACTTGAAACGCACAATCAGTCCACTGAGAAAGACATAATAGCTCTTTGAATCTTTGTTGAACACAATTCTTTGAAAGTTGCCACCCTTCAGTTTTAGAGTGTTTGAGATCCATCTAAAAGAATAATTAGTAAAAATGATAAATCACCATTGAAATTTAAAAATTATAAAATTATCTCACAACAAACATAGCTGGAAGTTTTGATAGTTGTCCTGGGATGAGACCTTGGATATACAGAGTGAAGTCAAAGAACCCAAACTAATTTAAATGTAATTATAGGGATTTTTTCTTTTATTTCTCAAAATAGATTTTCAAAAAAAAAAAAGCTTTGGCAAAAAGAAGCTCAAAATTAATCGATATAGAATATAAGACTTACTTCGAAAGTTTTAAAATAAATTGTAAAAAATTAAATTTCGACTAGACTAGACATCTCTTAAATGGGACGCAGGAAATAGCTCGAAAAACCTAAACATGTTTACAACGATAACCTTGACTGCAACCGTCACAGATAGGCAATGATAGGATTGGTCCGATCGTCCAATAGTCGATAGTGCGAATTATCGACTTAACTACTTAAACGTTTAAAAATCTTAGAATCGACCTGGATTAGTTCCAAGAACACTAACAATTACATATTCCAAAAAAAGAAAACACATAAATTATAATTATAACTTATATTAAAATAAAGTTATCCTCTTTCGCCTTACTAATCGTCTTCCAAAGCGAACAGTTCCTTAAAAATTCAACAGATGGCGACGTAATACCTGTTTGTTTATATTATTTTTTTCAAGGGGTGAATGGCCGAATTTTTGTTTTTTTCTGTCAAAATTAAACTGGACTGTCTCAGAACCATTCCAAACTCGTCTACTTCCTCATTTTTAAAATATAAATCTGTCGTAAAATAGTTTTCACATTAATTAAAGAGGTAAGAAGCCCAATGGGCTCAAATGTAAAATATAAATATTGAGTTATTCTCCTTTATAGTTCAGTAAAATGATTAATCTGATATTTTTTTTTTATTGTGTACCTTATAAATTTCAGATAAAATTTAGATTTTTATAAGAATCATCTTCACTTACTGGGCTGTATAATGGCAAAAGCTTGCTGTAATAATTATGAAAAATAGTTTATAATCATCCACTGCGTTAAAAAAGTTTATAATTAATTTCTTTTCAAGAAATTAAGGTAATTAGAAATTAATACTAAATCAAAATCAAAACTAACTAATTCAAAACGTTTGTACTTACTTGTTTTTACGATGCGATCAGCGATAAACGTATTTTACTGATTTGAGGCAATTTGTTTCGAATAAATAACTTTTATTCGTAATTCATAATTTTAAAAATAATCAACGTGTTAGGTAATTTTTTTTTGTTAATTTAACTAGTGAACAAAATAAAACCTTATAAAAATAAATATTCAAACATTCCATTAGTGAAACCAATTTACTAACATCTTATACCAAAATTAAACAAGAAAAAAGTTAATAATAAAATAATATTCATCATTCAAAATAAAATATTAGACATGATTTTTAGTCAATATAAAGTTCATCATATAAGTAATAAATAGGTAAATGAAAAATATTGAACAAAGAAGATAAATTTATTCATAATGACACCTTTATTCCAATAATATCAGTCAGATTTCCCCATCGCTTCCAAGAAAATGACGTTCACTCCAGAAATGATGGGTTTTGTTTTTCTTTATTATAAACTGGTTTCGCGCTGCAGTTCCTGGAGTTAGATACTACTCACGGAAATTTATAAGTTCTCAGATCTGATTTAAATGTATATATATATATATATATATATATATATATATATATATATATATATATATATATATATACATATATATTATATTATATTATATTATATTTTCTTATAAAATTGCGAATTACAATTTATATAACTAATGAAAGAACAATGTCTACAAAGCATATCATCTAATCAATGGAGCACCTAAACTAGAGCGGCGCACTGGAATTTATTTTTCAAGCGACGTTTTTTTAACAAAAACTATAACGTTCTTCTCTAATTGAAACAATAAATGTATGTAATGTTTTTGCAAAAATTCCCAAATTAAGAAGAAAAGCATTAAAAAAAAATCTGGTGCGCGCAACACACAACTTTCACTTACCGCTCTACTTTGGATATAAATTATTTTCTGGCAATGTTGGGCTATTATAAAATTTTTGAAGTGCATTTTAAACGGTGCTAAGGCTTGAAGCTTACTGATAATAAATCATTAATACCATTAAAATTACAAAAAGTCTATTTATTATATTGACGGTAGGCAATAAAAATCTAGCTCCTCAATCTGTTTTTATAAACCAGATAAAAAGCGGTAAGTGAAAGTTGTGTGTTGAGCGCACCAGATTGTTTTATGTGTACGTGGATATACTTATATATCCACAACTTATATTTTATGTACTTATAGAAAATATCTGAACAAAACATTTGGATATGGTAAAATTTGTAAACATTAATCATAAGAGGAAGGGAACAGCCTCCATAACGTAGCTACATTTTTGGAATTTATTCAGCTAAAAATGGATAATGTTAGAATACCTTTGATTTCTTAGTTTGTACAACCTCTAAATAAAGATAAAACGTTTTAACAATCTGACTGGCTATGTAAAAATGTCTATAAAACATTCTCTATAAAATATACACTTCTTATATATATTTATATTTCTATACATATTCCAATTTTATCGCAAAACATTTATAAGAAAAGCATATGAAAATGGAAGTATCCACATGAGGGATGAAATATTATCACTAAATATAAATAATAAGAATATTTAAAAGGCCATGATGAAGTAGTTATGTATTTACTTCTGGGCCTTTGTATAGGCAGCTAATCGTATTTTCTTAATTTACACATTTTATTTATTTATGTAGCTAATTTGTTATCAATTTTAATTTCTTTTTACCTCAAATTATTGCAGGAGATAACGAAATTATATTCTCGCCCCTCAACACTTTTATTAGGGGGGAGGGATGGTTCCTTTCACCTCTCCCGAAGTCTGCGTCGATTATAACTGCTGAGTCTGTCAGAACAAATATTTTTTTATTTACGTATGTTATTTCGTTGTATGGCGTCAAGGATTGTATATATATATTAATACTATACTCTAGACTAATTTATAAGTTGGTATTTATTTTTCAATCGAATTTAAAAAACATATTTTATATATATTTTACTAAATAACTTACTTAAATCTGCTCAGAATTGATGGACTCTTGTATTCATTGTTTATACATACTGGAACTAGGACAGGAAGAACGGCTCCTGCAGGTTACCAACCTATTTCAGTCTGAACGGGAAATTCCAGATTCCGTATCTATACGCCAGGCAATAAAAATCAACCTCCCAAGCCACAAGCATTATAACTGTATTTTTAAATAATTTTTTTCTTTTTTTATTTACAAAATAAATTCAACAAAGAATAATATATTGTATCAAAGCTGAAGATTCATTTAAGTTGATTTCAGAGTAGATGATTGCAATGTTGAATTGTGACACTTTCCATATATTATACGTATACCTTTTGGATATCATTTGCGGATATTAATTTTTGACATGGATAAGCATAACTTTTTCAATTAGAAATATCACTAAAATGACGTTACTCAAAAACGTTGAAATTGGAGTTAGTCATTCTGTCAACTGAAAGGATCAGGCACTGAAGTTATGTGATTTATAAAAACAGATGGAGTGACTAGATTTTTATTGCTTACCGTCGATATAATAAATAGAGTTTTTGTAATTTCAATGGTTTTAATAATTTGTTATCTGTAAGCTTTAAGCTTAATTCCGTTTAAAATGCACTTCAAAAATTTTATAATAGTCCAACATTTTCAGAAAATAATTTCTATTCAAAGTAGAGCGTTAAGTGAAAGTTGTGTGTTGTGAGCACCAGATTTTTGAGTATTGTCATTTCAGTGATATTTCTAGTTGGAAAAGTTATATCTATATGAGTGAGTACGTTTATTCCGGAGTAGGTGATTGCAGTGTTGAATATCGAAGTGTGAATAAAAGTATATATTTTGCCACTTGAAACATCACTAAAATTAACAATAAAGAATGTTGAAATTGGAGTAAGTCATTCTGTCAATGGAAAGGCTCATGTATGCCTAGAGAGATTTGAAAGTATATAGAAAAAAAATAGAAAAATAACTTTATTCTGGGACACAGTCCCTTGAGAATAACAAATTAGAACAAAATTAAAATATTACATCTGGCCAAAACAAAATAAATCAAAAAAAAGAAATAATGTAAAAAAAATATAAGGTAAAAACTCTATATACAAAACAAACTAAACTATATACAAAACCATTAATACTATTACAAGAAACTTAAAGCTATTTAGACCAGTATACACTTTTCCGAAAAAAATAAAGAATTAAAAAATAAAAATATATCAAATTCTCTATTAAAATCCGCTCGAATGGTTAGCAAGTATCTGACTGTTTTTGTGATAGGAATTGGAATAGGAGGGATTTGAATGTGGATATGGAGGGGGAATGTCGAATTTTGATAGGGAGGGAATTCCAGAAATTGACAGAGCGAACAATAAAGGAATTTTGGAATGAGGCAGATCTGTGAGAAGGCATGTAAAGGTCAGAAGGTCGAGATCTTGTGGACAGGGAATGGACTGAGGTTTTGAACTGGAGAAGGTTGTAGGCGTAAGAAGGACGATGGTTGTTGATGATTTGGTAGAGGAACGTACCTAGAAAGTATTGTCTTCGGAAGGAGGGGTAGAGCCACCTTAACTCAGTGTAGTGGTGAGAGACATGGGAGTACCTCGGGGCACCAATAACAAATCTTACGCAGCTATTCATTAATCTTTTCAGTCTATCACGGAGCTCCACCGAGAGGCCATCATACACCACACAGCTGTAGTCAAAGTGGGGGAAGATGAGAGAGGAAATTAGGAGTCTACGGATATGTTGAGGTAGGAGATGGCGGAAGCGATGAAATAGTTTAAGGGTAGAGATTGTCCGACGGGAAATGTGAGAAATATGGTTGGTCCAGGAGAGGGTTTGATCTATGAAAAATCCTAAATTTTTAACAGAGGAGTAGAAGGAAATTGGCTGGTCATTAAGGTGTAATATGGGAAAGTCAGTATGGGATCTAATGAGGGGCTTGGAACCAATGACGATGGCCTGAGTTTTGGCAGCATTTAACTTTAATCCATTTACATTTGCCCAGGCATTGATTCGATCAAGATCTTCTTGAATCTTGGCAAATGCCCCCAGTAACTCAGAGGGAGAAAAGGATAGGTAGATCTGGGAATCATCTGCATAAAGGTGATGGGAACAATGGAAAATTGATTTAGGTAGGTCGTTAATGTAGGAGCTGAAAAGGAGAGGAGATATGCTTGAACCCTGGGCAACTCCAGAGGATAAAGAAAGGAAAGCAGATAGTGGTTGGTTGGGTATGGAGACTGCTTGGGTGCGTTGGGAGAGGAAAGATTGGAACCAAGAGATGGAACTATTGGAGAAAGATAATGATTTTAGTTTGTTGAAGAGGATGGAATGGTTGATGGAATCGAAAGCTTTGGAGAAGTCTAGAAGAATAAGGACAGTTAATTTTCTATCATCTATTGCAGATTGAATGTCGTTGGTAATTTTAATTAAGGCAGATTGTGTGGAATAGCCGGGACGGAAACCAGATTGGAGAGGATCAAATTGGTTGGAATTTTCGAGGAACTTGGAGACTTGGGATTGCACCAGTCTTTCAAGAGGCTTTGAGAGGTT